TGCGAGTTCTCGGGTTTCAGAGTCATCCAGTGCCGCCTGGCGCGGCATCAAGAACCGGAAGGCATTCCTGCCTGTGTCATAGGGCGCAATATTGGTGGCGCCGGGCAATTTGGATCGCGCAACGGAATGCACGCCGTCTGCGGCGATGACGAAGTCACCCTGAACCACCTGTCCATCCCCGAGTGTGACGGTGGCACGGTGCGGATCAATGTCAACCACCCTGCTAGAGGTGTGCAGTTCAGCGAGAATGCCGGACCCTGGTGCCAGAGCAGCAGCCTTGAGACCTTCATGGAGCTGAGCGCGGTGTACCAGAAGCCATTTCTGCGTGTTGGTTGTCAGCATTGCTAGGCATCGCGCAGGACAAATGGAAGCGGCTCACCTTTCGCCACATGCTCTCGAGCTCCTTCACTGGAACGATTTGAAGGACTTTGCCGTCGGTTGAGCGCTCGCGAACCTGTCAAGTCTTAGCATTTGGCCTTGCTTGACCTGGCTGACGTTTAGCACAAACCATTTCTGCTTCAACCGCTCCGAACTTAGTTGCATCCACCCCGAGCCGTGAAAGGACACTGTTGGCATTTGGAGAGATGTGAATCGCTGCCCCGATTTCATTCGCAAAGCGGCTTCGCTCGAATAGCTATGAACGTGTCAGACGTAGAGTTTCACTCCCGATTTGGAGGACAACGCCGAGTCACTCACGGTGACACTGTGGCCATGTCGTCTGAGAGCAATAGCTGCAGTTAAGCCGCCAATACCAGCTCCCACTATCAGAATTCGGAGGCTATCCTGCTTGGTCCCGTTCAAGCTGTTCTTCCCCATGGCGCGTAATCTCCTGGTGGGAACTTAGAACACGGAAGGTGTAGATGTAACTTTCCTTGAAACAGGACCTCTCCCCGACATAGCCTTAGTCCGCTTTATTTGAGAAAAGCTGAGGGCAGAGCAGTAACATGCCTGCCCTTCGGATGTCCTCGTGCCATTGCCCCCGTTCGCATCACCGAGGAGAGATCGAGGAAACATCGTGGCCGGCCATCGGCTCCGCATATCGGCTCCACATGTGGAGAGGGACAAAGAGCAGTCGCCCGCTGATGCAGACGTAAGCTCTTTGACAGATCGCATAGCGGGATTTCATTGTGCTTGTAATTTAGTTGTCACCCATGCTATTAGGAGCAACACTTCCTGCCCTTGCATCCCAGATTATCGAAGGCCAAGCGACGTCATGCGGAATCCAATTTGTGAAGACATCACCATGAGGGATAATACTTCGTTCCCCTATATCTTTGAACAGAATGTCACCATCCGGCTGAAGGACGGCTCCGGTCTGGTGCGCTGCAACGTCTATCGTCCCAAAGACCTTGAGAGGGCTCCCGTTCTGGTCACTTATGGGCCGTACGGCAAGGACATTCATTACCGCGAGTAAGCATAGTTTTATTGTGCCGCTGTTCATGTCCCCAGATTGCTGACCCGGCTAGTTTCCACCCCAAGTCATTCAGCGAAGTCAACTCCGAGCACCACTCTGAGCATTCCGCGTGGGAGACGCCTGACCCCGGTTTCTGGACCAGACATGGCTATGCGATCGTTCGGGCGGACGAGAGAGGAACAGGTCAATCACGGGGCAAGCTAGACACCATGTCACGCGAAACCAGCGAGGCTTTTTTCGATGCCATCGAGTGGGCAGCGGAACAGCCATGGTCGACCGGCAAAGTTGGTCTGCTAGGTATCAGCTACTACGCGGGTAGCCAGTGGAGAGTAGCCGCGCGCCAGCCCAAGGGCCTCACCTGCATTATCCCCTGGGAGGGCATGTCGGACTACTATCGGGACCGTTGCCGTCATGGAGGCATTCTGAGTAACTCCTTCATCAAATTCTGGTGGGATCGGCAGGTTGTCAGCAACCAGTACGGTCGGCCCGGTCGCGCAGCGCGTAACTGGGGCCCTGATACCATTGAAGGCGATCTTACGGAGGAGGAACTGGTCGCCAACCGACAAGATCAGACGATCGACAACGCCAAGAATTACTTCCGCGATGATATCTACTACGCGTCCAAGGAATACACACAGTCTGACATTCAGGTGCCACTGCTCTCTGTCGCAAACTGGGGTGGCATTCTTCTGCACCTGCGGGGAAATGTGGAAGGCTATGCGCAGGCAGGCAGCGAGCTCAAGTACTTACGATTTATCACCGGTCGACACGACCTCCCGTTTTACTACACGGAAGAAGTTGACATTCAGCGTAGTTTTCTCGATGCATTCCTCAAGGGTGAGGATCGTGTCGGCTGGAGCAACGGAACGGCGCCAAAAGTAGACATTGTTCTACGGAAGGGCAACGTCGGATTCGACAATGTGGAAGCCGAGAAACATTTTCCTCGTCGTGTTGAGAATGAATGGCCCATTGCTCGGACGCAGTACACCAAGTACTATCTGACGCCCGACCGCGAACTGGTCACCGTAGCCAGACAGGAACAACCGGTGAAGATCACCTACCGCGCTCTAGGAACATTGGACAACCCCCAGCTTGTGCAATTCATAACTGCACCATTTGAGCAGGAGACGGAGATCACCGGACATATTGTCGCGCATTTAAATGTGTCGATGAGCCCTGACCCGGGTGCACCGACCCCGGGAGATATTGATCTGTTCGTCACGCTGCGGTACATCTCCCCCGAGGGCGAGGAGGTCTTCTATACCGGCACGGCAGGCGACCCGGCACCTCTATGCAAGGGGTGGCTGCGTGTCAGCATGCGAAAGGTGAACAAGGATCATCGCCGTCATCGAACCTATCTGCCCCACCGCGATTACTACTCCACCGATGTGTTGCCGGTGATTCCGGGCGAGGTGTACGGGGTCGATGTGGAGGTGTGGCCCACGAATGTGGTCGTGGAGAAAGGAGGCAAGATCGTTTTTGAGGTTTCTTCTGGTGACACCCAGGGCTGCGGTATTTTCCAGCATAACTCCCCGACTGACCGGTAGGCCGCCATTTCTTGCCGGTTTTTATTTATACTAACTTGGATAGAGCACCGGAGAAATTCCAGGGTCAGAACCATATCAACTTTGGCCATGGCGCTAACTATGTAGTCCTGCCCATCGTTCCCCCGAAGGCATAGACAGATATGACTGAGATTTAATAGTTGCAATCGTATGAATATACTATATTACATGAGTTGGAGGAGTCCCGGCTGCCGTTCCTGCATCGATAATATTGCAGGAATGTAGACTCGCGGCGGCGGCGCTAGGGCGAGAGACAACCCTAACAGATTTTTTCTCCCGATGTGGTCCCGAGACAACAATAGTATGCCAATTGGAGTGGTACACCACGTGAAACTACAGTATGAGGGGTATAACTTACTTTGGTCCCTCAGTCCCCTCTATACCTTACACGAAACACGCAAGACAGAAACACAACGTCCTCCAGTTTCCACCCGTATACCCGACTATACTATCTAAAATGTGCCCCCGACCAAAGAACATTCGCCCCCTCAAACGCTATATAACCACTCACGATGTCTCCGGCAAGGCAATCTTCTCCAGCGCCCTGTCCGAGGAAATGCCTGTAACCACCATCCCGGATGGTGCCGATTTCAGCCTCGCGTACACCTCCTCGCACTTCCCAGCCAAGCTCAACAACGAGGCCGACATCCACGAGTACGCGAAAAATCTTTCGAACCCGCCTGGCCTCGTTATCAGAACAGGCTCCGTGTGCCGGATTGTGGATATGCAGCCTGGGGTGACCAGCCCGATGCACCGCACCGTGAGCCTGGACTATGGTGTTGTGCTGGAGGGGGAGGTCGAGCTTGTCCTAGACTCTGGGGAGACGAAGCTGCTGAAGAGGGGGGACGTGAGTGTGCAGCGGGGGACAAATCATGCCTGGAGGAATACGAGTCAGACGGACTGGGCGCGGATGCTGTATGTACTTATGCCGGCCCAGGAGATCGAGATTGGGGGGAAGAAGCTGGGGGAGGAGTTGGGGCGTATGGGGGTTCGGCCTAGTACTTGATTTTGGTTCTGGTTCTGACTTGTGAATTGAATGGATGATTTTTATCTTAAATGATATTTCGAAATTTTTAGGAGAAATGAAGTACTTGTAGATTGGTCTTGCCAAACGCATACTAGACGGATGAAAGACGGATGAACGACAGATGCTAATATGATTAAAACTCCCCCCCGATATCATACCGGAAGATCTGGTTGTTGATTCTTCCCCCTGTGTGCCTCCACAGGCGAGCAACAGACTATGGATAAGTTAGTAGTGCCCTTTGGTGATGTTCGTGAAACTGAGGCGGAACCGACCGCGTTCAACCACACCCCGTGCAGCATCACCTGGATAAACACAAATTCTCCGAGGTTGCTCCCCGCTGGTCTCTCGCTCTGGTCTAGTTCATGGTTCACAGGACGGTATGCTGGGAGGCGACGGTAATTCGACGGCCAGTTGGCGAGTTGGGCTGGTTGCGAGACGGGGCCTCGTTCAGATAACTGGGGTTCTTCGCTGCCGCTGTGGTGGAGTTCGTAGTCGGCGAGGATGGAGAGGGAGTGGGTGCTTGTCTGGGTGGTTGTAGTTGTTGTCGCCATGTCCGTTCGAGTTTATGATCTTCGGATTTTTGATAAGGGTCGAGGCGAATGTATGTAGAACGTGGTTAGACCTCGACAGGAATACCTGTAGTCTTGCTCCGGATACGACATACACTCGGGCTATTCGGAGATATGGGCTTGGAAAATGAACAGAGGCTAAGATGGCTCCCCCACATTTTTATTATCGGAGATACAAAATGGAGGGATCAAACCCTCAAATTAAAATTATCAACTGATCTTTATGGCCCCTACGGGTTGCGCCCATTTACAGTTTCCCCCACCTCCCGAAGCGGAGTGGCCACCCTGCGACATTTGACCAGGATATGAACCATAGGAGATGATTCCCTCTGAGAAAGGCAATTTGGACCGTCCAAATCAGACTGCGGGTAATTTGACATTGTATCCTCTTTAGAGTGACTGGACGGTCAGCCACCGAAGCAACGATGGTCTCCTCACAGTTCTCCCGGCTGCTTGCAGCAGAGATCGACGGTCGTACCCAAAACCCCAGATATCGTCAGAATGAGTTCCATCGCCTACAGTCGGCCGTCAGCCAGCACATAGACGAGATCCAGGACGCCGTCCAGAAAGATTCCGGGAATGTACCTGAAGAAGTCCGCGCGGAGCTGTGTCTCGCGCTCAAGGAGATCCGCACGCACTATCTGACACTGAGTCTGGACAAGGACCTTGAAAAGGAGTATCGCGTTATAGCTGGCAAGGACAACGCAGACTCGCGGCGCGGCGCAGGCATTGTCTACATTGTTCCCAGCACACATACCATGTTTTACTCCATTGTCTCAGCGCTCAGTGCGGCATTGGCGGCTGGGAATTGTATCATCCTCGAGGTGGAGTTAGACTCTCTCAAGGGAGATCAAATGAGATAGACTGACAGTAGCAGTTGACAAAATATACCATGGCGCTGCCAGCCTTGCTGCGCAGAATTTTCTCTCAGGCCCTAGACGCGGATACATTCGCCATCACCGAAGAGAGACCCGATGCTGCTTTCCTCAGCAGGGTGCTCATGGTCTCCCAAACCGGTTCCGCGCCGCTCGCCGAGCGCAGTCTGGTATCGCCTATGAACGCGCGAACTGTGGCTGTCGTCGACAGAACGGCAGATGTTCCAGCCGCAGCTGAAGCGTTGGTCGCGGCTCGCTTCGCCTTTGGCGGCCGGTCGACGTATTCCCCTGATATCGTGCTGGTTAATGAGTTTGCGATGAAGCGGTTTGTTGAGGCGGTTATGCAGCAGGCGACCAGATATGTGGCTGGCCCTAACGGAGAGGCACGCCAGGGAGCGTCGACCCGCCGTCGATTATGTCCAACTGCCTCGCTTCTGGAAGCCGCGCAGAAAGGTGCGGGTACTCGCGTGCTTGTCTCTGGGTCCGGATGGGGGGTGGTAGAGGTCCATGATCGGTATGCTTCATCCCGTTGATAGTGGCTGCGGCAAACATTGACTATCATAGAAACTCACCCCTCCTGACACAAAAAGTAGAGGCGAAAGTGCTCGTCCTTCATCCTGTTACAAGTCTAGATGACGCTATTAACCTTAGCAACTTGTAGGTCGCTCCTCTTTTCCTAATATATATCGACGCTGACCGTCTTCAGGAGTGGCACACTGGCAGCGACATATGCCTTCAGCAGCCCCTCCGCCGCCAAATATATCACTCAGTTCATCGACGCCTCCGTCTCGTGGATTAACCACGTCCCCATCGACATGCTCAGTGCGTGCTTCTTTCCGATACCTTCCATCCAGCTAACAAACTTAGTCGGCCCCGCCTACCCTGTCAACACGGCTACCAGCACCGCCACCCGCTACGTGCCCGCTCTTCTCCAGGTCCCTCGTCCCCAGTTCGTCGCCGAAACAAACAACTCCGCCCTGGTGAAAAGTATTCTCGACCCCTCCGACGCCACGAAATCGGCAAACACCTGGCGCGAGGCCCTTGCCTCCTTGCCTTCTATAGGTCATCGCGCCGGCTGGAGAATCGGGTTCTTCGAGCAAGGCATAATCACTGGGCTGATTACCCTTGCGATGTTCGTAGCGACGGTATCTACTGTGGGGTGGTACACCTTTCGTAGGTGAGGAGGTTGCGCGCTGACATTGGTTTTGGTACTGTGTAATATACTACGTTGGATTTTATTGTTCCTTAGTATATAACTGCTGTAACCGCTGAAATTTTGTCTTCAGAACCTAGCTTTGAATTCGACTTCTTCAGGTTGGCAGTGTTTGTGTAGGATATCAGCCCCTTACAAGATGGACTGTGGCTACCGTTCGATGATATATATTTCTCATAAAGCACTTAAAACACGATTGCAGAGGAGATTAACGTTCATATGACAGTGAACAAAACCATCTTGCTCGGAATTTAACCATGACTTAATCTGATCTACCATTTTAGGAAGGGTAGGCTAAAAGTTGAGCGCCTGAGCCAACTTTGTGATAGCTTTGACCGACAAGTACCTTTGGCTGTTCAAGACTTACCAGTGTGAGCGAAAGTCAGACTATTATTGTAATTGACAGCTGCTGGATTATCTCCTCAATAATAACCAGATATTGACTAAACGGAAATATCACTGGCCCACGACCCAAGAGTATACTGCGAATTGCACATGTTGGTCAATTCCCAGCTCTCCGCACCCATCACAGCCGGCGACCCCGCATCTTCGAAATCGCCCATCGCTCCGGCCACAAACATTGCGGCCATGAAATGATCATCCGTGGCATGCGCATCACGGTACTGGGGGTGCTTCATCAACCGGGTCATCGCGCGCCGCAGCGCTGGCCCAGAGGTCTTAGTGATCACATCCTCGACCGCTTGGCGGAACTCTAGCGCCCACTCCTCCGGGGGCGTCTCCATGGCAAAATTATCCCGGAAGCGCAGCATGGGTGCCCAGCGGTTGCGGTAGAGGTTGTGGACTGCGCCGCCGGTGCCGATGAGGAGGTAGTTCTCGTAGCGGAGGGGCCGCAGCGTCGCGCCGACCTTCATGTGGTAGTGTGGATCGTAGCGGGCGTTCATCGAGATGATGGTCGTCGGGGGACAACCATTGGGGAACATGTGGATGAGGATCAGGTAGACGTCGTGGATCCAGTCGAAGGATGGGTTGCCGCTGGCGTTGAAGCCTTCCTTGGCGAGCATGTCGATGCATCGTTTGGCAGTCTCGAGGTCTGGGTTCAATTTGTAGTTGATGTATTTGTCGGGATGGACGTAGGCGACAGGTGACTTGTCCGGGTTGGGGTTGGTTGCGACCTCGATCTTGTCGCCGAGACAGTCCCAGTGTGCGCCCTAAATGGTCAGTTTGTCGTCAAAATTGAAGCAAGAAGGTGACTGACCATGATGATTACGCCTTTGATGTTGTGAGCCAGTGCTTCCTCACCAGTCCTCCTCCAGTAATCTGCCGACTCGGATTTCTCTCCCAGCATCATGGTCGAGCCATGAGAAAAGAAATGAACGGGTGTGAGGCCTATCTTGTCAGCTTTTATTCTGGAATGCCGTACAGAGAGCCTGCCATACCCATGTTTGCTTTGAGTTTGATTGTGCTGTAGGCAGCGATCGAGATCTCTGTCAGGCAGTATCGAATTCAACAAATAAAGACATCGCGTTGGAACGATTTCTAGCCCCATTATTGTCGAGCACCCCGCCCATGTCCAGACCTGCCAACCAGTTTCCGAACATCATGGCTAGGGCCGGGTTGGGAGTGTTCGGGTATGCGCCCCCACGTCCCGACGCGCCTGCGCATCATGAGGGGTGGACGCACAAAGCGACATCTCAATGGCCGCGTATTGGTCGTTTCGCCGCCATGACTTGCACTGAATATAATCCTATCAATTGCCTGCTGGGGGTCCAGATGGCATTGAAGAGTGAAGTCCTCTGAGCGTTGAATATTAGTGTGGAACTGTCTGTGCCATGAGATCATCAGGCAGGGTTGGCATCCTGTCTTTGGATCAGAGGAGGTCAGCTCCTGTTAGATTATCATTAGTTATCAACCTGTAGTCATTCCAAACCCAAAGTCCGAAAAGTTAATAGTGACCACAGGGGAGAAATGACCGCAGGCAGTAACCATGAGTGGCAATCCTGACTCCCCGCATATTCAGCATTTTAGCGTCATGCCCCCCCATTTCCCTCATTCTCCCTGTTCATCATGGGCTGCTCACCGCTGCACATCCGGATCGCTTCTTCTGCCTGACGGGATTCATGTCTCGAATCAATCCCTTAGTCGAGTTTCGTCAAAACATTCGTGTATCTTCGCCATGACAAATGACTCCCCGCTCCCCAGTCTCGACAATTCTCCCCGCAGCTCCCTCGCCAGGCAGAGGGACGGCTATTTCCAGTGCGGTTCCTGCGAAAAAAGATACAACAGAGTCGACCACCTAATTCGCCATGTTCGATCACGTCAGTTCTTTTCACGTAGACGGTGTTGTCAATGCAACCGGTTAACTCCCTGTAGATACTCAAGAGAAGCCATACGTATGTGACTTTTGCAATAAAGGCTTCGGCAGACCGTGAGTTGTCTCTTGAAAACTTTATACCCCAACGAAAAAGACAGCAAATTTGTGTTTTTGAGTCTGAATCTGTTGCAGGGACCTGATGAAGCGACACGCGGCCAGTCATATTCAACCACGTGACAGCAAACGAAGGTGTCTCCCCTCCTATCCCAAGAATGGTCGTGTGTCGCAGGCCTGTAAGACCTGCGCTGCATCGAAACTCAAGTGCGACGAGGAGAAGCCTTGTCGCCGATGTCGGGAAAAGAAATTGGTCTGCAATCGGGCGCAGAATGGCACTCCGATCGACACATCCCCTCCTCGACCACAACGACAAGGTGTGTGCGGGAGATATTCAGCTGACAGGATTCATAAGCTAATGGGAATTGCAATATAGCATCCCAGAGCGATCAGACGCCACATCTCCCTGCCGACGCATCGCAGGTCCACGCCACGTTCCCACCCCCGATCGACGGGCAAATAGACCAGTATCCGAACGAGATGGTCAGTCCGAATGCGGAGATGAACAATCACGTACCCGTGGGGCTTCAATCCGGGTCGTCTACAGATGATCGCAACAGTGTCGTGTTCAGTGTCGACGGCACCTTCTTTCCCGACTGTATCCTCGAGTCACTGATACCTTCATTGTCCCGAACGAGCGATCTGGACCCGCTACCTGTCCTTCCACAGGACTATTTCCACACTGAATTAGATCACAATGTTGACTTCGACTTCGATTTGACCGATGTGGATTATGGAGTCATTGACCTTTTCAATTCTCGGGGAGCTGTCCATCATAATGCCCACAACAGCGACGGAGCCAACGATTGTGGCGATGGTGACAGCGGGATTGCCATCGGTGCCGAGGCGTATCATCGGTCATCCTTGTCCGCTTGGAAACCGGCCCACGAAGATCATGCATTTGCTGACCAGGTAAATCTCTCGGTTTCAGAGGCTATTGACAGCCCCGAGGCCAATTTCAGACCGGATCGTCGGATCCTCTCTGAGCGGTTGTCCCCAAGTGGTCGCGATCTCATTTTTGGCATGGTGCTGCAGACCAGCCAGCGAGCCAACCTAACTCGCATCATGAAATCCTTTCCGAGTTCCCAACTGCTGGACAGTTTGATCCAGTACTATTTCGAATCCCAGAGTTACCACATAGACTCCTGGATCCATGGACCGACTTTTCGGATGAAAGAAGAGCCCCCCGATATCCTTGCCGCTCTTGCCGCTGCTGGAGCCGCTCGCTCAACCATTCCGACCAGCCGCAGGTTAGGATACGCCTTGATGGAGATAGTGCGCCTCCAAATGTCGGTAAAGGTTCGTTGGTGCCTGTAACTCTGTGACCCCTGGCGCGAAGAAACCAGCTAAAGATGCTCACATGTAGTATGAGAGCGACAATAGCACCACACGCGATCTGCGCGCCTCGCAGACGTTTGCTCTGGCTATCGATGTCGGACTGTGGAGTGGCAACGCACGGAGGACAGAGATTGCGGAAAGCTTCCAGCAGCCTCTGGTCACGGTTTGTCAATCTGAAGGACCTGTGGATACAAGTTCACTGACGATCCCAATCATAGATGTTGCGACGTGCCTTACGTTTTCGACGCTCGGTCTACTCCAACATCGCACCAAGTGCCGACGACGATGGTGATGTTCTGGAGAAGAAGTGGCGGGAATGGGCTCATTCCGAATCATTCAACAGGTTGTAGCCGCTTTCAGCCCGACCAACTGGTTTACTAATTCCAGACAGACTCATACATCACATGTTTCTGCATGATGCCCAGTCAGCGATGATGTTGAACGTGAACCCAATAATCTCGTACTCCGAGCTGGAACTTCCTCTGCCTGCTCCTCGCTCGTTGTGGGAGGCCAAATCCGCCAAGGACTGGAAGGAAGCGTACCTGGCAAGTGGACTGTCTAGTCGTGGCCGAACACCCTCGTTGGTTGACAGTCTACAAGACTTGTCCCAGTTATCGGCATATCAATCCCGAATTGATCTTCAACTGTCAACATTGGCCCTTATTCACGGACTCTCTACACTAGTCAGCGAATACCATCGCCAAAAATGTATAACAAAAGACCATTCCAAACACTGGAATGCTTTGGTGATCAGTTCACGACATCAAGAGTTGACACAAGCACTACAACATCTACGCATGCTTTGTTTCGAGATGTCTAGCGCTCTCGGGCCCGGGATTGTTTTGGTATTTGAACTCATTTCCATGTTCCTACACATGTCGCTGGAGGAACTGCAGCTGTTTGCAGGCAAGGAGGATAAGAACGAAGCCCGTCGGGTCTACCACAGCGCGATCGAGTGGATCAGCAGTATTGACTCGCGACGAGCGATTTGGCACGCCGGCCAAGTGGTACGGGCGGCAAAAGTCATGCCTCCGGGGGCTTTGACTCGGTTCTTTGCTCTGGGAGTCTACTACGCTAGTCTTGCGTTTTGGTCCTACAGCGTTGTATCAAAAGCCAAAAATTGTCAAGCGGTCGTCGGCAGTCCGCAATCGGACCCGCAATTCCGCGGTCCCTGGCCCACAGTCTATCTGGATGGTGAGGAAACGACCGATGTGCAAAGGTTCATCTCATTAGGTTGCGGCTGTCCGGCTTTGCATGCTCCAAGCGGTGCCGCTGTCATTGCCGATCCCAGCCAGATCATGGATGCAATTCAAACGCTTCTGCGAGGCGATGCCCACCAGGATAATTTATCTCCATTCGTCCAAGGACTTTGTCAGTTGATGTGCGATCTGGGCAACGCAGCCTATGCCTCTACATAAGATTGGTACCACTTTTATATCTTTTCCTTTCCTTTCCTTCCTTCTTGTTTTGGCACAATGGCAGCAGGAATGCATGATAGGAGATACCCAAGTGTACAGCAAAGTCAAATGATCAGTTTTACTTTTCTTCTTCCAGCATCCCGCCAGTCTGGGCATTGAACCTGAATTGGTTTTGATGGGATAGATGCCCTTGGCGGGGACTATACTTGGCGCATCTCAGCGTGAGCAGCGATTCGGTCATCTATAAGAAAATCTTCTGTTTGGGAGTTTTACTAGTACTTACCATCATAATAGCAGGGTTAGCCGCCTTAGGGACAAAAGCCCTGTGAGAGGGGTGCTAGTTATAAGGATTCGTAATCATTCTTTATCCTTTGTATATAGCTTCTGCAAGGGGGAGTCCTCCGGACTCCCTCCTGGATAGGGCACATGAACCATAGCATATATTTTCTCTTCACAGAGCTGACTTTAAGAGATCAGTAATAATCTATTGTTGAGGGCATGTTCAGCATCTTTGCAATCCATTATTTCCCTCAAACCAACTCATAAACCAACCTCGCGGATTACCAATCCTTATAATTAGGCATCTTGACTTGGTTTCCAAGACAAAACAATCATTGTCCTGCACCTGTTATGAAACCTAGTTACACCCTCAATGGTGAGCTGAGAAACCCAATCCTGATTAAACTAAACCTACACAGAACCAGAATAACCAGGACATCACAGCTCTTAGATAACATAGTGAATCTTATGTTTACTGTCCACACAAGCAACCTTACGTATTCTGAGAAGGACTCAGCAAAGAAACCTGGAAGGTCTATATAAGCCTGTTAGACTTTGATATCACCAATGTGCAATTTCTCTGTGCTTAATGTAAGGTGTTTGTATATTATGTGCCTTTAGCCTATGATTTTGTGGTCTCTTGTACATTTCCCTTCGGACCGCTTTCTATCAGCAGATCCCTAGGCAGACAGATTCGGTGCTCTTGATCCTCACTAATAGCGAGGTGGTCCAAAATAGTTTTGCTGTTAGCTTCACCACGACGTGGGGACAAGATACCCCATGCGTCAGGAATAATGCATGTACTGGTATTTGGCTTCCTTCTTGCAATACTGGTTTGGTGGCGGCAGACCTACTTTAATAAGATGTTGAGTATGCCCTAGGCGCGAATAGCATATATAATACCCTATCTAAGCATGCTATAAACAGACAGAAAGATTAAGACTTTAGTAAAAAAGCCTAATAGATAGTATGCTAAGAGTAACTCCCTTTCTCTTTAGGTTATCCTACATGGCATGCAGCATTAATATATATCTACTAAGGGGATGAAATCTATTTGATATAGTTTAGTATGCACTAAACCTTCATGTATTAGACCTTTAGTCCTAAAATAAGTACCTTTAAAGTGAAAGAAAGAGAAACATAGTTTAAAGCAGCTAGATATTAAGGTAAGGCATACCTCTTAAGCAGAAAGACTTCCTATTAGCTCATATGTCGAAAAAACTGGCCTTGTACAAAGACTGAGTAATGCAGATTTTATGTCTGAGAATCCTGCTTGCACCTTGCGGATGGCTGAAGGAGGAGAGGAAGGGTTTACAGTGCGTGAATTTGCATCGACCAAGCAATAGAGCTTCCTAAAAGGAACCTCCATGACGCCATATATCGCCGTTTTTCCTCTTGTGGTTCGTTCGAAGACAGCAGCGTGCGAGGAGCGCGTTTTCCAGAAGCTTTGAAGACGGTAAATGATCAGGTTTACTTTTGAGGACTTAACTCAGGCATCAAGATTAAGGTCTGATGAATGGGGACTCGCCTCACTGGATCAGTTAGCCCCTATACCTGATCATTTACTCACAACCTCACACCGGTGTCCGACCGGCGCAATCAGAAAGTAATTCTCAGGTTTCATAGTCTCCCATGTAATATCCTCGGCCAGTTTAGTCCCACGACAATGCCTAAAGAATTCCGCCACCGCAAGTCGCAGCTCCATGTACGCGAGGTGAATCCCCAAACACGTCCTTGCACCAGCCCCAAATGGCGAAAAAGCCGTTTCCATGCACTTAGTATCATCTTCACCTAGCCATCGCTGCAGCTTAAATACCTCAGGGTCCGGGAAGATATTCTTATCACGGTGAATTGTATAGCTCTGTGTGCTAACCGTCATGCCCTCCGGTATGAAATATTTTGACAATGTCGCGCCTCCTGCAGGGACAGAGCGCGGTAATGAACCTGGAGCTGCTCCGTAAAGACGTAGCGACTCCTTGATGGCCGCGTTGAGAAGTGGGAGTCTCTCGATATCTGCATCTTCGTATTCTTCGTCTAATCCGGCAACCTCTTCTTCTAGTTCCTGCTGTAGTTTCGGCTGTGAGAGAATCGCCCAGACGAGGTAGGTGAGTGTGACAGCTGTTGTATCGGACCCAGCGACGATCAAGTTCCCTGCTTCGGTAACGACGTCTTCCTCTGTAAGAGAGCTAGCTCCTTTTTCGGACTCGGCGATTATTCCAGCAAAGATGTTGCGACTGGAGGTGCTGGTGCCTCGTGCATTGGTGATTGCACGCCGGCCGTAGGTGGCTAGGTAGTCGCTGGCGCGGAACATGGACTTGAGGCTGGTAATCGGGAGATATCGTGCGACAAAGCCAATGAAGGGCAGCTCGGCGTTGATGCCGGAGCCTTTCATAGTTGATTCCAGGACATGGATGTAGTCGTTTTTCTACTTCAATTAGCCACAGTCCAGTCTGTCTCCTAAATCCAGAGCATTTATTGTTGGCTCGAACTGAATCTTATCGCTGTAGAGCCCTACCTTTCCATAACTTAGCATCCCAAAATCCTCCCCAAACATCAGCCGCCCACTCACATCCGTGGCCAAAAATGTCCACCACTTGAACACATCAGACCTCCCTCCATTCTTCATCTCCTCCTGGATCTTACCAACTGCAACCCTCACTTTCTCCCTTACAACTTTCTCCCAGGTATTTCTTAACTCACTCTTGGAGAACGCCCTCGCAAACAACTTTCGACGCGCCGCATGCGCTGCTGGATCACGCATATCAAATACTCCGGGTCGTTGGGACATGACGAACTTGCTGTACCATTCAGATTTGAGGAATCCGGCACCGATGCGGTGGATCTCTTTGAAATCCGCGATTGAAGAAATCGAGACCTCATTAGGGCTGATGCGCACTATCGGTCCGTATTTTTCGTGCAGGTGGTGGACGAAATAGATGCGGCGGCCACTGATGATTGATAATTTGAGTGGAAGGCGGGTTAATTTTGTGAAGAAGGGGCCCGGAATAAGGCGGAGTGGTGAGTTGAGGATGTTGTATGTTTTCTCCAGTCAAGGTCTTGACGTTAGTACATGTGTATGGTTGCCGGCTTGGCTTAGTGGTTAGGTTGTGGTACCTGGGTGATCCAGAGTGCAAGGATTACAACTGTGTAGATCCAGATTTGTTCCATGTTGGTATGCGATGTGAAGTGACTGATAGAGCAGTTGAAGTCTTCATTCTCCTGCCATACTTGAATTTCAAGTCTACTTATATATTTCAGGTACCGGTACTTTAACTGGGTATTTTGTCCCCGCAGCGCTGTGAGCCTGAGAAGAGTAACTGGGGTTGTATGCGGAGTATTCGGACATCAACGAAAGAGGTCCACACCTCCGCTCCACGAAGTAGAAGGTATTCCCCCCCCTTCAACCTGCTATTCTCCTCTTTCTTCCATGACTAAACAATGCTTGTATCGCGCGGCTCAAAGCTCGGCCAACATACGTGCACTTTGGGTGAGGACAAGACCGCAAAGTTAAGTGCCATGACGAAAGTCCAGATGCTATGTGAATATATATCATCGATGAGGCCGTAGGAAGCTACCTTACGCCACTTATTTACGGTTATGGTGCCCCCACCGGGTTCTTAAAGCGCAAAAACTCTACACGCTGAGGCCAACCGAAGAGTTAGGGATTCGCAATGCGGGCCCCTAACTCTTCGGTCTCTCTACCTTTCCAGTTCCTGATTAATCACCGCAGCAATTCTCAACATTCTTAATTGAGGTGAAAACTTGATGTTGCCGCCGCCGCCCCCGGTCTCGAGGTTCCGAGGCTTTATATTGTAGTTTAGACCATTCTCGAAGAATAGAAATTCAACTAGGGGCCAAGTTGGCATAACGTGTCACACAGTCATGGCAGTTCTATGTTATTCATTGTAAATGAAATCCAGCTGATACCGGAATAAGAAATTCCTCGAGGAATTCCCGGCCGAGGCATTCCACTCACGTGGACGGTTATAAAGCAGGATAGAGGGCGAATGGTTTTGACCACATCTGCACCCTTTGTAGACATATTATGATATCCTAAGCGCGTCTCTGGATTAAGTAGGGTGAGATCGAGTATGGACCTCGTGAATGGACTAGGAGCCTGGTACTCTATATCTATTACTCTTCAATTGCCATAGCAGATGGGTGCATTTGGCTGACCAAATTCGGCTCCACATCGGCTCCACATTCACGGTACTTGTCGAGAATTAAGTGTCATTCAGGTCCAACGTATGGCTCTCCCTATGATTCGATTAGCCCAACTTTATTAGTAGGGCGGAATCCGCAAATATATCAAGGGCTCTGGTAAGGTAATATATGCGCAGTAGATCCACTGAGAGAGTGTGCAGAGTGACACGCATTGCAACCAAGAACAGAACAACTGGTCAAGATGGTGGCTTGGCCAGTTCCGATCCAGCCCAACAGCCCATTCACTTTGGCTAGTTTACCGTATGGAATCTTCAGTACTTCGCATTGTGTGAGGAAAACCCCTGTCATCTGAAAGGAGAACCTCCAGCTGGCTCTACACAGGAGCGCATGGTATGGGGCGGCCTGCAAGAGTTGACACTTTATAGGAAGAAAAGCGAGTAGGAGTAGCCATTGGTGACTCCATCCTCGACCTTTCCGTCATTGAACGCTCGCCTGGCTTCAAGGTCATTCTACAACGCTTTGAGAATGGCCATAACGGCAGATCCACGTTCAGTTCTGGGGACCTGGGCAACTTTGCGGCCCTTCCTGCGCCTACGAGACAGCGTTTCCGTCAGCAGCTCATTGACTGGCTCAATAATCACAATTCGCCCCTGTTCCAGGATGCCAGCTTGAACACGGCCGCCTTTGTGCCCATGAAGGATGCGATGATGCATTTACCGTTTAAGATTGGAGGATTTTCTGATTTTTCGTGCTCGGATGTCCATGTTTCCAACGTACGTGGTCACCCAGTGGCCTTTAAAGATGATTCCTTTCATGTAGACGCCTAATCATGGAATAAAAGTGTACCAGATTAGCCAGAGCACCCATTCCGCCAAACCATTACGCTATGCCCATCGGCTACAATGGCCGCGCATCGTCAGTCGTCATCGACTCAGCACCGGTCCATCGACCATATGGCATCATCAGAGACAAGGATACGAACAATTTCGCATTCAAGCCCAGTGAGATGATGGACTATGAGGCCGAACTGGGAATATTCATCTCCCAACCAGTCCCAGCTGGAAAAGTCATCACTGCTGATGAGGCTGAGGACCATATATTTGGCTTTGTCGTCTTGAATGATTGGTCCGCGAGAGATATTCAGTTCTCCGAGATGACCCCGCTTGGGCCTTTCAACGGCAAGGCTTTCGCAACGAGCATCTCACCCTGGGTCATCCCGCTCGAAGCTTTCGAGAGTGCACGATGCTCTTCGTCTTTGGTGGACTTACGCGAGGGTGGGTCTGCCGGTGCATGGCATTTGAGTCATGCTAAGGCTGAATCCACGTGGGATATTGAATATGAGGTTTCCGTCATCCGTAAGGCCAGAGAGTGCTCAATGTTTTAGACTCTTTATTTGTTAACCGTGCTTATAGGGGGCAAGTCTGTAGATGGAGTTCTCATGCTGACGACTCGCTCAAATCTGCGTGATCTTCGTTGGTCTCCCGGCCAGATGGTGGCGCACCTCGCTTCATCAGGCTGCGGCTTGAACACGGGTGACCTCCTTGGTACCGGTACCATTTCATCTCCTGTTAGTGCCCCGTACACCGAGCAACCCTTATTTGCGAAGACGTTGGTGTCTGCTTGACGCGATCAAGAAACTTACCACGCAGTTAGGATGACTCTCCTATGTTCCGTACTCTCGGATGCCTCTTCGAGTTGACAGAAGCCGGCCAAGTCCCCGCTGGTCAACATGAGGGGCAGATACTCACTTTCCTGGAGGACGGAGATGAGGTCGTGATGACAGTCAGGGCTGATGGAGGTTCCGTAAGCTTAGGAACACTACGTGGCCAGTTGCAAACGCCCAGAGATAGTCGAACAAAGCTGTAGGGAATCCAATGTCTTTCCTTGCATCATCCGTATATGGGATTGTCCAAATTTCGCCTCTGCACGAATACGCGTACAAAACTATACAGCCAATGATATCTGGGTAAAACGGTGTGGGTTGGTTAAACCTAACTCAAACTATAGGAAGTAAAAACTATGGTTTCCACCTAACCTAGATTAAGTCTGGGGTAGCCTAACCAAACCCGCAGCAGTTCCTAGGCTTACCCCCAAACCCAACCCTGGGTTCAGTGAGGTTTGGGTTCGATTTTTGCGGGTCAGTTATGCAACTCTAATAGTATATATTAATCCTAGGAGCCAGGGGGCTAGTATAGTAGATAGTTTACCTAGCTTAATAGTAGTATAGGTGGAATCCTGATAGGTATATATACATTATACTACTATACCTATAGATCAGGATATACTAACTAGGATCCTTAAGAGGTAGCTAGATATGATAAACTAGATAATATATAGGTTATCCCTGGGCGGGGGCCCAGGGCCAATGCGGCTGCTGGGTGAGGGGCCTCCCATTTCACATGGAAACGGGCCAAAGAGTGGGTGGGGTCCCTATATGTAGGGCTCTAAACGAAACTCTAAAGATCATCAGGATCCTAGTCAAATATGCAGAGTTCACAATTTGGTATTTGGCTCAGTTTAGAAAAATGTAGGAGGCGGGGTGTTAGAGAGGACAATCCTGTGTACCATATCCATATCTATGAAGCAGATTCCAACAAGCCCTATTATATTAGCTCTGCGTGTGCTGCAATAATTATAATTATAGTATATCTCTTCCGGAACCATCCTGGCCCATACTGGTATAAGCCTATCAATCTTTGAGGGTCAAAACTAGTATAAAAGCATATAAAAGGATACAGTATTGATATTAACGATCAACCCAGCTTGACATTCTCAACCTCGTGTAAGTCAACGTCCTTCCCTTGGCTGTTGTCTGTGCCGGGCGCAACAGCATCCTCAGCATCAGCCAGCATGCTCTGAGGCAAGTGAAGAAGAATCTTTTCACCTGTAAACAGCCGGTCGATGTGCTCCAGTGAGAGATTTCGTGTTTCAGGGTAAAAGAAATAGATCAGAGGAATAAAGCAGAAATTGAAGACACTGAAATAGATGTATGTGCGCCATCCAATGCTTTTAATGCTGACTGGTGTGATTTCCACGACAAGGAAGGTGAATATCCAGTTGGACGCCGTGGCGAGCGCGGCTGCGCGTGTGCGAATGGCAAGAGGGGCGTACTCGGCAGGCACTTTGAAATGTCCATAAGCACGGAGGAAAACCAAGGATGATCAGACAGGGAAGCACTCACAGAGCCAGGGGATTGCAAGCAGGCCGACGGCGAAGAAGAAGTTGAAGAGGAAGAGCATTACGACGGCAACGATCCCCGCAGCCATTCCGCCATCAGATACGGTGCCTGCAAGGATAGCCATACACGCACACTGCCCGGTAGCGGCGAAGAGCATAAGTTTCCGGCGGCCCAGGCGATCGATGATCCAAATCGGGACCAAGGACGAAAGGAAGTAGGCAATACCATTGAAGCCCGCCAGGAGAAGGGAGAGATTATGAGACATCCCGACCGAATTCTCAAAGATAACCGGTGCGTACTGGAAGACTGTCAGATCGGCCCCATATTGATTAAGATGAGGGGAAGTAGGGAGTGCTTACATAGGTGATAAGGTTGATGCCAGAAATTTGCTGCATAAATTGCCCACCGATCCCAAGAAAGGTTCTGTAAAGAAATTTCTGTTCTCCGTTTTCTAGCATCATCCTCCAACTTCCTCTGGAGGAAGCTTCGCGCTCTTCCTTGATTGCCTGCTGAATTTCCGCCAGTTCGCTCGCCAGCACCGGATTGTTGATATCAAGAGTCCGTGCAGTTTTCTCAACAGCCCACAGGACATGTCGTGCTTCATCATGACGGTCATGGGCAATTAGCCATCTCGGTGACTCTGGAACTACACAGATGCCGGCAAAAGTGATTATGGCGAACAATATTTGCAGAGCCAGCGGGAAACGAAACTGAGCATCGTTTGAGACGTAGCTCATCGCGTAGTCTACCCAATAGGAAAGCATGACTCCGAAGATATTGATGGCCAGCTCAATGCAAAGCCCCTTGCCACGATTGCTGGCCTTCATCAGCTCGGAATGCCAAACAGCTGCCGAGACTTGATTCAGAGACTATCTTTGAAGAAAAAAGCACTGGATTACTAGAGAGTCACTCACGAATTGTGCTCGTGTTCATCCCGTTTCCCAGGCCGGCGATAATCCGGCCAGTTATCATTTGAGGGATGCCGTACGCGCTGGCTTGGAGAGCCGCTCCGATACTGAGCACGATTGACCCGATCGCAATACACTTTCGGCGGCCAAGTCTTTCTCCAAGAAACATGCAAATAATAGCACCAAAGAAGCAACCGATTTCATAGATCGCGACCACGGTCCCCTGAAGGGACGCACTCCCAGAGCCGTGCTTAGTGGTGTCGATCTCAGGGAATACGCGGGTAAAAGCGTGGCCGGTCAGAAGCCCGGACATCACCCCCTGATCGTATCCGAACAGAAGGAAGCCCGAGCCCGCTGTAGCCGTAATGGCCCAGTTAAGGGGAGTCCCAACCAAGAAGGTCATGATTGAATGAAGTGGAGTAATAGAGCAAGAGTGACCGACTACCACGGCCTTAATCTGGATGGAAATCAGGGGGGATGTTGAGAAATCGTGACGACTTATGTATCTTGTCGAATGCCGTCTTTGGTTGGAGTATGGCTTCTGTACCCCATGTTCAATTTCCCCATGCGGGAGACGTAATACGGGGTAAGTGGCATATCTCCATGTTAGCTAGACGAGCAAATCTCCGTCAGATTGCCACAGGCTTAGAACTCAATTCCGCCACAAGGAAGGTGAAAATACCTCAACGCCTAAAATTTCCGAAACAGAAAAAGCAGAAAGTGAACTCGAGAGTCCGGAAAATAGAAACACTCGCGCGGTGCTGCTTTCATATATTATTGTCTTGGCGTGCGCTTATGCCTTCCATTTTTGTGCATATGGAAAACTTCCCCCGTCATGTAGTTGAGGCAGTACGATCCAAGTTCTGACATCGCGAGAGGCCAGATAAGCGATAGTTCAAGCTCTGGTGTACTATGGTGTATACACAGACTAGATAAAGTGAATATAAGCTCTCGCTATGTCATAAAATCCGTTGCTCATCCATGTAGAAGTCGATCGACTGCGCAGGAGATATATTCAGCTCTTCAATCATTGGTAGCACATAAGGGAGAAAATGGTGTGAGGTGAGCGACGCAAAATCCCCCGAAATCTTGCAGAGTCTTGACTGCAGTCTTCGGCCTTTCGAGCGCCCGCCTCCCTTGGAAGAGCCAGCTACGTTGGAAAAGACCGTTTGGTGGAGAATGGTGGCATTCCCGATCCCGGGGCCTTGGGGATCGTCAGTATTCTCAAGGGTATACAAAAAGCACTTTAAAGGACAGTCAGTAGATCCTGTCATGAGGGAGAATACTGCCATGGTGGAGTGCGTGATCTCTTAATAAGCCGGACACAGAGACACTCTGCGAACTATACCGGATATGATTTACTACAGGCATGTTGCTGAAGGGCTGAATTAATGAAGGTCCGGTCTTTTTCCATCTAGTTTCTAACGAACAAATATTTATACTACCAGAATCGTGTCCTAGGGGCTAAAATGAGGGTGTCTAGCTCATTGCTGCGGATAACGCAGTAGTATGGAAGATATCCATCTAATAGGCAGGTGAGACGGATTCCGAATAAGCTAAGCTATAAACTATACAACCCTGTAAACCCTTGGTTGCTGAGTTATTAAGGCCTTGAAAATCGCCATTTTTTAGAGAATACAAGGCGATCGACTCGGTATGGAAATATGTTAATATCTATTCATATGCCAGCCCATATACTTTTGTCTTGTAACACTGCTTAAAGCAATACAATTTCAAGGTGCCCTACCATCAAGCGGTGTACACCATTAACGTACTCATTTGTGTAGAAGTTTAGATACGTCAGCATCTACACGTTCCGCGCTATGTCCCATACACTGCTCATGCAGAGGCACAATGGCCGCCATCCACCCTCAAGTCAGCTCCCGTCATGAAAGAACTGCCTTCTGACAGTAAGAAAACTGCCGGGGCCTTGAACTCATCCGGTGTTGACAGTCTGCCCAGAAGCGCCCCGGCCATCCACGTCTTTTCTACCTCAGGCTCAGCCTGGAGGAGCTGGTTTGTCATATCAGTCTGGATATACTGGTATCGTGTCAGTCGCGTGAAATGAAGGTAGAAACAGGGATGGGGTTTGGACTTACACCCGGTGATAAGGTATTGATCCGTATTCCGTACTTGCCCCATTCCTGGGCGAGAGAACGGCACAATTGCTGCACCGCCGCCTTGCTCGTGTTGTACGCCGAACATGTGAGACCCTGTGAACAATTAGCGGACAACTTCTGCGGACTTATCCTGAGCCCAGGGGGTATCGTTATGCGTACCCGGTTTGCAATTTGACCCGACATGCTTGCTATAAGGACAATGCTTCCTGGCCTGTTCTTCTCGACTAGAATGCTAGCTGTTCGCTTCGCGGTCAGGAATGCCCCTGTCACGTTGACTCGTAGGATCCGCTCAAAGTCCTGTCCCTCATACTCGAGCGCCGGGACCTTCTGCTGGATGCCTGCGGAGGCCACGACACCAGCAAAGGGCGCGTCCTGCGCGTCGGCGTCTTGCGCGATTTGCTCTAGTGCTGTCGCAAGCTCGGTTTCGCTGGTGACATCGCATTGCTTATATGAGGCAGTCAGATTGGATGACTTGCACAACTTGAGAAGGGTGGACCATTGGGTCTCTGAGGGAGAGGGCAAAATGTCCAGACACGCAACGTGGCCGCCAGACTCTACCACCGCAAAGGCCAGCTCCATTCCTAGGCCTCTGCCACCACCGGTGATAGCTATAGTTTTACCCGTGAGCGAGAGAAGACTAGGCACGGTCGGTGCCGAGGGAGTATGCTGCTGCTGCGTGTTGGGCACGGAAGCTGCAGCTGCAATCTCGTCGATGGCCGTAGGTGTCATTTTTGTTTCCCACTCTTTTGGCAAAGTAAGACGAAACGCGAAGTGAGGTTGGAAAGGACAAAGTAGTCCGCTATCAGGTAGTACAAGAGTGACAACAGAGGAAGTGGTGATGGTTTGCGAGGTTGAACAGTGGTTTCAATCCATTGTTTGTAGGTCGTTGCAGGGCTGGATTGGGCAGGTCGAAGCACAAAAGCAACGATTGGTCATACGTAGTGGACATTACAAACCCTCTGGGCACCGCTTAACTCCTTCTAAGATTGCTACAATGGCCGAAAGTGGACGATCGTACGCGTCTACGGCATGTATGTTGCCGCAACGGAAAAGGTGAAGAGTAGCCATGGTCTGAATTGCCGCAAAAGTTCGATTGCGGAAGTTCGAAGCGCCAGACTGTGCGTTAGGAGTCTCATGAGTGGTTTGAGTTTGATGACGGGGGGAGGGGGTTCGGGAATTGGTTGGCTGTGGGGTTTATCCGTTCTGTTTCCGAACAAGGAAGCCCTAACCGCACCCCGAGAATAGGAGCGGAGAGAGAAACGACATGTATAGCACCAACAGGATACGTCACCCTCAAAACTGAATCGGAAGACCTGAACATCAGTGAAGAAGTCATTGCGGATATAAAAATGAGCTTCACGATCGGACTGCATTTCATCGCCCTTCTTACAAGAAATAAGTGTATCTGTCGATTTTGCTCCTGGTCACCCGGCTCCTGCCGCCAGAATGACGCAACAACTTGAAGAGAGAAAGAGAATTGATCTCGCCTTGCGAACAATCCGATGCCTGATCTTAGACCTTTGCCAACAGTATAAGGGCGGGCATCCAGGGTGAGTAAACGATGTCCCGCAGACCATACCGTCAAGCAGGGGGACCTGACATTCTTCCTCACCAGGGGCGCCATGGGAATGACTGCGATTGGCATTGCATTGTGGAAGTATTGCATGAGATACGTGCCAGCGAACCCCGACTTCTTCAACCGGGATCGCTTTGTGCTCTCCAACGGCCACACTTGCCTCTTTCAGTATACCTTCCTCCATCTCACGGGCTATAAGGCCATGACGATGGACCAGTTAAAATCGTACCACTCCGAGCGGGCAGATTCCCTGTGCCCAGGCCACCCGGAGATTGAAATTGACGGGGTTGAAGTGACCACAGGCCCCTTGGGACAAGGTGTCGCAAACGCGGTGGGCCTGGCCATGGCAACGAAGCATCTCGGTGCAGTTTACAACAAACCCGGATTCTCACTTGTGGACAATACGACATGGTGCATGATTGGTGACGCCTGCCTGCAGGAAGGCGTTGCATTGGAGTCAATTCAGCTCGCGGGCCACTGGAGACTCAACAATTTGGTCATCATCTACGATAACAACCAGGTAGCGTTGGCTCCGTATTTCAGACATGGCCGTACTGGTACTGACAAGATTTCGAAACCCAGGTGACGTGTGATGGCAGTGTGGACATCTGCAACTCCGAGGACATCAACGCCAAAATGAGAGCATGTGGCTGGGATGTGATCGACGTTGAAGATGGCTGTTATGATGTAGAAGGGATCACTGCTGCCCTCATGCGTGCCCGGTCCAGCAAAGAGAAACCGACCTTTGTCAACGTACGCACCGTGATTGGCGTCGAGAGCAAATTCGCCGGCGACGCCAAGGCGCACGGTGCTGCCTTCGGCGACGACGAGGTCGCGAACATCAAGCGGAAACTTGGAATGAACCCAGATGAGCATTTCGCTGTCCCTGACGAGATATATCAGTTTTTCAGTGGCGCTGGAGTAAGAGGCCGAGCCCTGGAGGAGAACTGGAATCAGCTCCTGCTCAATTACTCGACGGAGTATCCGGAGATGTACGAGGAGTTCAGGTTGAGAATGTTAGGAAAGATGACACAGGACTGGACAAAGCTCATCCCTTCAAAAGAAGAATTCCCCGCATCTCCAACAGCCTCCCGAAAGTCTGCCGGTCTCTGTTGCAATCCCCTGGCGTCAAAGCTCCAGAACATCATGGTGGGCACTGCCGATCTGACTCCTTCGGTAAACATGGCATGGAAGGGCAAGGTCGATTTCCAACATGTAAGCCACGGCCCTGTCCCCAGAAATTTTCATCATTTTGCTAATCAAAACTGCTTTGTCCAGCCGGAGCTCAAGACAACTTGTGGCCTAAATGGCAACTACACTGGGCGATATATTCACTGGGGTATCCGGGAACATGCCATGGCTTCAATCTCAAACGGACTAGCAGCCTTCAACAAAGGAACCATCCTGCCCATAACCTCCAGTTTCTTTATGTTCTACATTGTAAGCGGAACTATTAAACTACGTCCCGTTTAGTCCAAGCAGTGGTTGCTGACACTGAGCAAGTATGCGGCCCCAGGCATCCGAATGGGAGCACTTCAAAGCCTCCAGCAGATCCATATCGCGACTCACGACTCAATTGGCACCGGCGAGGATGGGCCTACGCACCAGCCCATTGCGTTGGCAGCGCTGTACCGTGCAATGCCAAATGTTCTCTACATACGGCCTTGTGATAGTGAAGAGACGGCTGGGGCTTTTGTCGCAGCATTGCAGGCAACATCCACCCCGACAATCATCTCGCTGTCCCGGCAGAGCTTGGAGCAATACCCGAACTTTTCCTCCCGACAAGGGGTCCAGCGGGGTGCATATGTTTTTATCGAAGATGAGCAGGCTCAAGTTACATTGATTGGTGTGGGTGCTGAGATGGTCTTTGCAGTACGTACGCGAGAGGTGCTGCTGGACCGTTTCAACATCAAGTCTCGCATTGTGAGTTTCCCATGTCAGCGTCTTTTTGCACAGCAGGACCAAGAATACAGGAGGGAGGTCTTGAAATATCGGTCAGGAATCCCCTGTGTCGTTATTGAGGCATATGCGGTGACCGGGTGGGAGAGATACGCCGATGCGGGTTTCACAATGAGTACATTTGGACATTCCCTACCTGGTGCGGCAGCATATAAGTACTTTGGATTCGATGAGCATGTGATTGCACCAGAGGTGGCAAAGCTCGTGGACGAGGTTCAGCGGGACGGGATTGAAAGCTTGCGAGGTGATTTCAGGGACTTGAATCCGGTGCGCCATTAGTTGACGATCACGAATGTAACATATAATGCATTTTACACTCTATAGTCAATAAAATGCAGAAAGCATCTTTTGCTTGTTTTAACATCTAGCACATCTCCTCGGCCATCAAAGGATGGAACTAAGGAAGGAGGCAGAAAATACCTCGATCGATTCGGCAAGCCTTGCAAGAGGACTCATTGGAGCCTACAGTAAATAGTTCAAATTGGGTGTAACACTAATCGCCTTGCTACACCTTGGACAGCTACACCGGACGGCAAAAGATATTATTGCGACAAATCTCCCCAAAACTCTTGAAGGTCGACCGCCCGCCACTTGGTGGGCCAACCACACTCCTGTTCGATTTTCTCAAGTAATCTCAAAATTGCCTGGTGCTCGCTTGGGTGGCTCATCCACTGGCCCGCAATCCACAGCGGTTGGATCGAGTTGGTCCACGCGCCGTGATGGTCATTGCTCATGGAGATGCCACAAATCTGGCGGGCATGCCACAAGATCGAGCGTGGCTTGGGGTCTAGTCGCACATTGGTCGGCTTGGACTGCAACAGTAATATTGCCGCGGTGTGGTAGAGCTGGTTTCCGGATATTGCCGCTGCATTGCTGAAAAGAATCGTGGGAAATGGATCAGTGGAGGGAAGGTTGACGATTGGTTTCATCTCTTTTGGCCGTTTGACGTGCCAGTCTTCCATATAACGCCACAGCTTCAACCATCGTTCCATGTAGGCTACGTCGCTGGGGTCGCACCGCACACTCGCCGCTCGTCCTAGCAAGTGGGATGGCGCCAGGAGATCCAAGGTCTGCGCACAGAGGTAGACTGCTTGGTTTGCGCAGGTTTCAAACGTAGATACGGATTGAAAGAGTCCGATGTCCGTATTGAGGTCAATCATGGAAGCCCAGTGGTTGACCGGTATCAGTGTCTTGATGGAGGAAATCAAGCCGCCGCATACGTCCATCCGGGCAAAGCACCAAAAGAGTGCCTGCTCAACACCTCCAACGAAGCCATTGATACCCACTGCTTGCATCAAGTGTGCGCATCCGTCGAGATGCCGTCGCCAGGCTTTCGGGGCACAGCTGAGCATCTCCAGCACACACAGGACAACGCAAGACCCGATCACCGCAGTAGTCCTCGTTGGAAGCTGTGGGAGGAGAAGCTGGATGGCTTTATGGTAAAGCATTAAACTGCGCTCAATGGGCAATGTTTTATCTTTCTGCTCTTGCTGGCGGGCAGATACAGCTAACATGGCGTACCGGAGGTGCTCGTGGGATTGCGCCATCACGGGAAGGGTATATTGGAAATGGCGTTGACTGTCAAACTTGTCCAGCCACGGGGCAATCTCTTCCAACCAGTTCTTCCACAAAACATATTCCACATCCTTGGGCAGATCCACGGGGATTTGGTTGTTGGACATCAGGCTATAATCTTCGTAATCCCCGAGCTGTACAATCGGGACCGTAGTGAAACCTTCGCGCCCGAGACTCGATCGAGCTGGACCCGCGCTGTCGGTAGAGTTTCGCCGAGAAGGGTAACGGGATCGCGCTTCTTGCATGAGATGGCTCCTCAGGGTGGAGTGCAGCTCAAGATAATCGGAACCTGGCAGGAAGACGCCATCCTCGAGACTCACATCAGGGGAATAATTAGTGGAATCACAACATTCAGGAAAGCGTTGCAGCAGAGGGGAAGTGTTCGCATCAAGGCCTGGACCAGGAGCGAACACGGCAGGCGATTTGTGCAGCACTTGCTGTAACCACGGATTGCTATCCACGAAATTCCCGGCAGCGGTGGGCTGACTCAGTTCTGTTCGGCCTCCAGGGCCCGATAGCTTTGTGTTTGCCATGTCCCCCGACTGGTCCGGAGACGAATGCCTGGAAAGCTCGCGACCCATTGAAAGGTCTTCGGAAGCAAGCTCGGAATCATCAGAATTAAGAGGCTGCGAGGCGCTTGTGCTCAATTTGGGTAGGTCACACCTGGCCTCTTCTTCACGCCGTCCAGGGTCCTGCGCATGGTGCAGTGGAGTGGCGGATCCCCGGTCGAGTAGAGGATGCTGGACTGTACCAACGGGAGAAGACTGATGATAGTCCCGTATCACCTCAGAGGTAACGTCCATAATCTGAAAGGATTTGTGCGTCCGATTCTCCGACTGCCGTGGGTCGTGCACCAGCATCTGCGTATTTGCTTCCCGGAAAGTGACTCGCATCCCCCACTGGCAGCTCTCACCTCTCTTCCGGCACCTGAGGCACGTTGGCTTTCCCTCATCACACTTCCTCCGCTTCTTCCGGCAGTTTAGGCATCCTGATCTTGTCCTTCCCCACCTCCGGGCCACTCTTTCTCCTGTCCGATCCAATACTGAATTTGACTCACCTTCTGCTCGACTTGGAGAGTCCGCTTGCATGGCTACTCCCCGTCAAGGTCTCCCCGTGGATAACGAACAGTGATGTATGTTGGTTTGGGGATCTCTAGATCTTGTATAGGAATGTAAAAAGAGGGGACCAAACCGCTATGCACTTACAAGGAGTGGTTAGACAAGACACAGCTTGACAGACAGATATATTCCTTGGTTTGAGAAAGCCTTTCCGACTCACATGACCGTGATTACTTGTGAAGCGATGGATGCTTATCTATTGGATGGTTAATGGTACCCAGGACGGGACCAGAAAACTACCTCATGATGACTAAGTGAGGAAGCTAAGCCACAAGGGGACGGAGTCACGTTCAACACATTCATAGTGACAACCAGACGAGACATATCTAAGGTAGTCCTACAAGGTACCTAGGTAGTACTCAGATAGCTCTGGCTTTTGCGTTTTTCCGACGCCTTTGGAGACGTTTGGAGCCTCGATGGTAGCATCTGCAACTCCAACGATGAGCAATACCAGATCGCCCAGCTTTCTTATTCACAGTTTAGGTTGGTAACTTTCACACTTCCTGTAAGCAGCTCCACTGTTCTGGAGACGCAGGAGCGTGGGAGTAGATCCAGATAACTTTGTTGAGGATCATTAACGTTTTTCAATTCGCGCAAGAGGTCGACGAGCTCGCATAGATTCATCTGAGAAGTTTCATTGTGCATGTCATGGTACAGGAATTCTGCACAGACAAATAAAGGGATAGGCATCAATGGATGCATCTTAGAGAGCAGTCAGCATTTTGTAAATTTGTGACTATATCCTGGCATGTGTTACCTTAGAAAATGGTAACTCTCTTAAAGCGGAAGCGAATTGGATGACCGTGCTTGATGCTCCTAGAGCCAAGTTGTGATAATCAACGCAGCCCATATCTGCATCTACTGAGTCGCCGGCCTCCATTGCAATGTCTGCCATTCCTTTGCAGAAGTATATCATAATTGCCTGGCCGAGGATGTGGGCGAACAGCAAGTGCGGGTCAAAGGAATCATGTGGTGATGGATAGCACCGTGACAAAAGCTGCAGTCTGTGAGTCAAGAGATTCTCCAGCCATTTGCGTTGATCCACACAGTTCATTGACATGTCACCATAAGCTTTTGATATGTGATACTGCTGGATTTGCAGCAGACTACGACCACATATTGTGGCCATGATGAGACATTCATTGAATGCTGACCGGAATTTGACCGTAGTTTCGGTCATGGCTTCAGATAGGAAGGGTCCCACATCGCAGATACTTGCTTGGAATGCCGCATCTGGACCTGGAAGACGCGTGCAGATCTACCCGTCGACAGGATGGAACAATTAGCGAGAAACTTCTGTGCAGACGGAACCCGTATGCAATCTCTTACCACATGCTCATTTAGTGTTATAGGCCAATTGTCGCGCATGCTAATGACGTGGTCAAGGAAATAGGCCATCCAGAACACGCGGCGCCTCTCCTCTATTTCAATAAGGTCGTCGCACAGAGCTGAAGGGCAGTGATTATCAATTGGTCTGTCAAGGCTATGATATCGCATGCCCTGTACCAAACGGAATGCTCGACCAGCACTTAACCATGCTTGATGGTGATACGTTCGCATTGATTCAAACGTCACCACAAGGACCCATGCCTGTGCTAGCTCTGTGTTGGCGCTCCTGGGCTCATTGGTCGTAAGAGACTCAAGCATCTGTTTCGTTTCCCGATAGAGAGGCTCTGCCATATGACTGGAATGTGCCGACAGCAATGAGGCTATTGTCCACATGGCATATTGCAGGCATCGACGCGTCGCTGACTTATTGTTCGACTTGGACCATGAGAAATACCTCTTTTGGTGCAGGATGGGTAAAGATTGGTGGATGCGGTCGAAGTATAGTTGGTCCCTAAGAAATACATTTAGCCACATGTTATTGCTTGGGGATGGAGTTACTCTAGGGTATAGTTACAATTCGGCGTGCAATATCGGCGAAAGAGGAACATGCTGGCCAAATGGACGCGTGGACACCAATGCGCTTTCTTTCGCACCCGACGCAGCGAGAACCCCGTCACCATTGTTTCCTGTAGTCTCCAGGGGTTCTTCTCGATGGGGCGAGGAGCGAGCCTTTAGCATTGCCTCCAGCTGCACAATACGACTTCTTAATGCTCTCAGATGGCCTTTTTTAGGTCCTCTGGTCCCACGCTGAGTCATTTCACATACAACACCAGTGTCTCGACAAACGCTACATTGTGGCTTCTTGCCATCGCACCGTTGTTTCCGACGTCGGCACTCATCACATGCAGCCTTTTGTGGCTGACTTCCGCGTTTTGCTGTATCTCCCATCTCGGTTTCAGTGTCCGATGCCATCTTGAATTATTCGGAGAATATGACGGGGCTTCTTTTTCTCACAGGACTCCGTGAAAGAGAAAGCGAGCTGTGTTTGAAGGACTTCTCACATAATCTCCTGGCGAAAAGATAAGGATTCCTTAATCTCTGCCGCGAATTTCAATCCGATACGTCTGATCAATCATCAGACATTCTTCGCGCGGAACTGTCAGTTTCAGGGCCAATCAGGACAGCTCGGTCTCCCAGCTAGTGCTTACTGCCTACTTCGGGTATCACACATCCTAGATACAACTTGATTCTGGTAGGGTGCAAGCCCAGTAGGTGAATAATTAGTGAAATTAGTTTCTCCGACAGCCAAAGCAAAATCGCCAGCCCAAAGCTGGAAATGCATGGGTGGTGCAAGGATCGCGGGGCTGAGTTCAAGATTCCGAAATGAGATATGGATCTCCCTCTTTGCTTATGAATGCACAGAACACAAATTGGCTGGATTTCCATGTCAATTTCTAGCAAGATTTTTCGGGGAGCTAACGGCTTTGCTGAAGCCAATTTAGCAGGAGTCTGAGAGATACGACCTCCATCAACAGGCCCAGTCTTGTAGGGAAATCACTGCTTTGAGCCAATCTCTCAAAGACATCCAAAAACTTCTAACAAATATGGTTAGTAACGTTTCAATTTGAAAAATTATTTTCGTAACTGGCTAAACAAATATATCTGAGATTGTTTACCATGCTAGCCTCTTATATCCAATTGCGTAGCGGCACGAACGATGGATGGATATTGAAACAGCGAATGAAAAATCGGAGAAATAGTCGGCGAATTAGTTTCAAAAGCGACGTCATCAGGCCAAATCATATAGCTCCATCACAGTGATAATTACTTTGCCGATGTGAGATATCTCAGGTGCAATGATCTATTTTTGCGAATTAGCTCATTGTGAATTGTTCATTCATGTCCTTCTGGGTGATTGCTGGTATATATATAGCATATGATTCACGTCTTCTCCCATGGGAATTCAACCATCCATTGTTGACTACATTATATACGCAAAGAGCAACTGCAACATTATACAACACTCTGGAATCATTCATCAGTATTATTGAGAATGTATATCCTTGCTCGAGGGAACGACGCTATCAAGGTCAACCCTATCACCGGTGTTGATGAATCACTGACCATGCATGGTTCTGACTGGCTATGGGCTGTCACTGCTATCTATTGCTTCGTGCTCGTGAGTCTGCAACTCACCTCCTTCTAGACTTATCTCATAATTGACGTTCCATAGATTGGTTGCCTTGTGATGTCTTTTGCCGCAAAAGAAAGCCAGCGGGTCTTTCATTACCTTTTCACCTTCAGTCTTCTGGTGGGCGCTATAACCTACTACGCTCAAGCGTCCAATCTGGGTTGGAGTCGCGTCGATCAGGTGAACAATCTCGGCAATGGCGACATCCGCCAGGTGTTCTGGGTCAAATATGTGAACTGGATGCTGGCATTTCCTTCGGTCACTCTCGCACTTGGGCTGATCTCGGGTGTTTCCTGGACTACTATCATCTGCAACATTTGTCTCTCTCTCTTCTGGGTTGGGAGCTACCTTGCAGGTGCCTATGTGCCTTCCTCCTACAAATGGGGATTCTTCGCCTTTGGGACATTTGCATGGCTCATTCTTGCTATGAGCACCATCAATGAAAGCCGGGAAGCAGCTCACCTGGTTGGTATTGATAAGGATTACATCATGCTTTCAGGTTGGACGAACCTCTTATGGATAATCTACCCTGTTGCCTGGGGTCTGACCGACGGGGGCAACAGGATTGGCGTTACGGGAAGTTCGATCTTCTTTGGTGTCCTCGATACCCTCATGGTCCCCGTACTCAGCGCTGCCTTCTTGTTCTTCGCCCGGAACTGGGATTACCACAAATTGAGCATTGCTTTTAGCGACAGCCGTCCTAGCCGGGAGACCGATGCCGCAGCTGTGCTCAAAGAAAATGCGCCCCATGCGTCTGCATAGCTTTCTGATTGCAAGACTACTCTGGTGTCTCTTCCACAGCCACTGGATGATGACTACAATCCACCTTGGCTCTGTCTTCATGTTATCCTGATATATTGTACTTTTTGTATGGTTTTAAAGAATGCTCCATTTCACTACTATAGTGTACGGGATTGTAAAGCGTAAAAGCACTACGTTTCTAGGGTTTATCGTCACTCGTGTGACGGCATGGACGGGTCTAGGCTGACTGTGATAGCTAGTATATCCATCCATTCTCGCGTATTAAAGCCGCAGTCTACGGATCTCCTAGTCTCAATCTATGGTCATTATATCGCAGAAAACATAAAGGATAAGTCACATCAGCCATATGCTGACATCACGGCTTTTCCAGCTCACACAAATCATGGATATCCTCTACTGATATTTATCTCGATTCCTCCTTGCCGGTTCCTCCAATCATATTCATGCCTTCCTCCGTCGGGTTGTATTTGCGGAAGCAAAAAATAGAACACGATAGCTTCCACGCTTGGCGTCACTGTTTCGCAGATCCACGAGGGCCACTTCAAAGAGACCAATCACAATGCCATAATCAGATACTCTCTTAGAGAAACTGCAACCAAAGTGCCGACAGCCCTCAGTGTGCTTTCATGTGGCAGTGAAGTAATGTGTGGAGCAAGTGCCGGTAGGTCATGGTAAGGAGAGAGCTACGTAACAGAAGAGAGGTTGCGACCAATGCAGGTGAAGCTGTAGAGGCCCTTGCCTGTCCCCTGAAGTTGGAGCTTATATATTTAGGCCTATTGACAACTCTACAATTGCAGTGGTCCAAAGCCGAGATACTGAGTGATAAGGACCTATGCTCAGCTATGCTCAGCGCTGAAAGCTTTAGAGTTTGGATTCGCCCAGTTGACTGCTCTGGTGATCATTTGGATCCTATATAGAGTCTGTGCTGCCAAACTCGCCCTGCAACTGGATGATGCAAATTAAGTGGTTACATTATCTAAAGAGGTCATTGGCTTCCTGCCAACAGCGCATTATCTGTTGACAGATTGAAGTTATATTAAATATACTCTCCAGTCTCTTCAGAGATCTAATGCCGTAGCTGTAGCAGCCCTCTTAAAAGCAGGATACCGATCTGTGAGGGTCATTAAAAGTAATGAAGGTTTCTGTAGAGTTATTGCATACTTGAAGTTGTCAGCAAGGGCAGAATCAGGTGTATTGTCTATGGATAGACTAGATAACACAACACTGACAGCAAATATTTGACCCAGCAGCGCCTGATCTGCTCGAAATCTCATGCAGTGTAATTATCGTTGACTTTGTGATTTCAGACTCTAAATACTTTGCTATTATCCTCTGAGATGGCAAGATTTGCCATATGGGACTCCCTGATCTATAACTAAATATATCCAGGAGGCAGGGGAGGATATAGCTGGTCCTGATTATATTAGTTTACCCCATGCAGGAAGCACATAAGAAGAGAACTGTTAATTGTTGTGTTTACTGCTGTGACTTTAGGGGGTAGGAGTGAAGCTCCTTTAACAGAAGGAAGACATGAGTCGACTGCCCCATAAATATTAGATTTCTAGTGGTCTGATGGGGGTTGCTGCCGTTCCACACTGCTGGGGATGATAACCTTAGATCTATAGAAAATATAATAGACCATGTTGTGTTGTTATATATATCTAGTCTTTGGATTCTGCAATATGCTTGAGCATCATGGTATTAGCTGCGTCAACTGGAACAGCCACAAACTTTATTCACAGGAGCAGCCCAGGTCGTCGGACATGATGATCTGTTAGCTTCGGTGAGTGCTGATTGGCAAGCAATCCAGCAACATTACCTCAATATAGATGTCCTCCTGTCACCATCCATGGAAGAGGCTCTGGAGAATATGTAGCTAGTAAATTTCTGCCATTGCACCTGTCATGGTGAAATGGACCTGAAAGGTCCCCCAAACAGGGATTAATCCTTGGCTCAGACCCAGCAGATTTCTTAATAATTAAGACATTATGCAGCCATTCTCTTGCTAATATGCATTTGATTTATCTTGCTGCCTGCTTGACAGCAGAAAACGGGGCTAGTTGTGGTTGAATATCTCTGATACAGCTCACTCTCTATAGACCTAGATTAAGCTGCACTCGACTGTCTTTGCGCGCCTTGCAATCACTGTGAGCCATGTATGATTGAAAAGTTGCTGGGCGATTCTGACGCCCGAGCTACTGACCTTTTCCTCATATAAACCATCCTCATACTGGCAGGGGCATGGTACCAAGCGCTCTTATATTAAAGCAAAAAGATAAGAGCTTATAATATACATAGTGGCCACGTTTGGGCATAACCAAGAGTAAGGGAAGGAAAACAATGAGCGTATTCATCATGCCGCAAAACGGAAGGAATGCTGATGGTAGACCAACAAGGAAGCGGATGCTTAGAAGAACAGGTGACCTTTATGAATAGTCTTCTAAAGTTGACAGAATACAGTTCATTTCCTTCCTATTAGCCTTGTAAGCCTTTAATTTCTGGGACACTTCTGTCATACACTTGAGCTTCCCCAAGACAGACACCAATGCAAGCTGAAACTGTCTTACTGGAGTGGGAGATGTAACCTTATCTGTAGCAGTATAGTTTTGAGATTTTTCCGGCATGAGTTAGAAGACGCCATTACTGGGAGCATAATGGAGATGGATATATTGGGGTTGCGTAACATATCGATCCCAAAGGGGACAAGGTTTCCACCCATGCAGAGGAGTGACTGAAGGGTTCTGCCCTCCTGCCACTGCTTTGTCCATGAAACTACCATACCTCGGGATTGAAGGCCCAGAGCAGGCTAGAAGTATTGTAAGGTCGGCTGTCAAGGTCCGACGTCAACTGTTAAGATAGATGTGTAGGAAGCAAGATAACCGTATATTGCCTAAGCAGGGAGAACTAGTTCATCGCTGAGTTATGGAATACTCAGCAATCCGCGGAGATATCTACAGCGTATTACGTGATCTAGTAGGTTGAAACCGTTCGCTGCCATCGGCGGTGGCTGCGTGTGTAGCTAAAGGGCACAAAGTCAAAACCCCCACTAAGCATCTGATCTGTGCCTCAGACCAGTTCCATGATTCCAGTCCCCGCAGACGGAGACCCAGATTGGCCTTTGGAGAGGTGCTAAACAGCTCTTGCGTAATAAATACGGTCTAACCTGACGTTTTTAGGGGTTCGGCATTCCAAACTTATTGAGCAACCCCTCGTCCCCTCCCGTTACTTCCAGTTACTTCGGAATCATCTGAAGCTGTTGTATAATATTAGTCGAACGCCCTATGTACCCCACCAGGGGTAATTTCCCGATGCATGGGGAGAGACCATAGCGCTAAAAAAGGGAGAAAGGAGAAAAGGACAGGGCAAAAATATGAACCAGCTCGGCGAGTCAGATGTTATCGTCAATACAGTTTTCCTTGCTCTTGCCACTGTTTTTGTGGCTGCGCGATTCATATCTCGCATGTACATTGTTTATCGGGTATCCGTGTCAGACTATGCGATGCTGATCGGCTGGGTCCTTGTCTCTGGCCTCTCAGCTGCCAATATTTATGCCACCACGAAAGGCCTCGGACTACGTGAGGGGGTCCTTGAAAGCTGGAGGGATCCACTGGCTCGGGCCGAGTACGTTTTTGGTGTGCTCTATGTATGTTGTGAGTCATCTCAGGAGGGCCTTTCTACTTTATCCAACAATGCGAATATAGTATCCCGCTCTGGCGGCCATCAAGTTATCGATCCTCCTGTTTTACCTGATGCTGATAAAAGAGGAGTTCGTCTTCCGTCTTGCAACCTACATCACTCTCTGGGTAGTCCTACTGGCGGGGTTTGCTTTGACATTGGTCAATCTTTTCCCTTGTCGTCCTCTCTCTGCTTCTTTTCAGATTACAACGCCTCCAGGAACATATTGTATCGACATTGTCGCCCTCTATATTTCCACGGCTACCATTGATATCATCACTGATGTTGCTATTGTCTCTCTTCCAATGCCGGTCCTATGGCGCGTACGACTCCCGCGAAGGCAGAAGGTTATTCTGCTGCTTACCTTCGGAACGGGCGTGTTTGTGATTGTGATCAGCGTCCTGCGCACGGAATTTCTCTTACAGAAAGCAATCCAACGGGCGACCAAAGCCCAACCGCCCAGTGTCCACGATCTGTCCTGTAGGCTTTGCTTCACGGCGCTTACTTTTCCTATTTGGCGCCGGCACCCGCTGACCACATCTCCATAGATTATGATGCATATGTCTTTTTATGGTCAGCTCTTGAACTGACCCTCGGGATCATGTGTGGCTGCGTACCGATGCTAAAGCCTCTCATCGGCCGTCTTCTTCCGCGGCTTCTCTACTCTTCCAGCCTTGCCAGTCAACGGACGGAGCATGAGCCATTCGCCTTGTCGGAAGATGCTGCTCCACCGAGCCCAAGGGAAAGCACCCCAGCTATACCACTTTCCTCTATGGACCAAATACCTCATCAGCAAGCTTTCCTATCGACGTCTGGAGGGGGACCAGTCAGTCCACCCCCAGAATTTGTCCGAATAGCCGGATCGAAGAACATTCTAGCCATGAGTGGACGAGAATCCATGATGCCACTTGCCGCGATCTTCACCATTTTCTTGCTGTGGGGGTTCGCTTACGGCATTATTATTACGTTCTACTGGGAACTTTCGCAAGCTAGCCATCGTAGCCAAGATGTGAGCTTTGCCTTGCACGCGACTTTTTTCGGAGCCTATCTTTTCGGGCCCATTCTCGTAGCAAAACCTAGTTTGCAAAGATGGGGCTTCAAAATCACCGTCGTCGCCGGCCTTTCCATCTTCGGGTGCGGAATGCTATTATTTTGGCCGGCTACGGTGCTTGTCTCACTCCCAGAGCTCTTCATTGCTAGCTTCGTTGCTGGGCTGGGAATCTCTGTTCTCGAAACGTCTGTGGATCTCTTCGTTGCACTCTGTGGGCCACAGGGTCAAGGCGGAATACGACTGAGCATCGCCCGAGGTATCCAAGCTGTCGGTTGGGCAGTATCACCTATATTTGCTCAGCAGGTGCTCTTCAAGCATACAACTAGTGCATCGGCATTGGTCACTGTTCAGTGGATATTTCTTGTCCACGCGATAGTGCCACTGATGCTGGTGGTTATGTTCAGTCTCCTGCCGCTTCCCGAGGTGTCTGACGAAGAGCTTAATGAACTTGCTGAGCAATGTCAACAAGACATCGCACCGTTCGTGTGCGGGGTTCATGTCGCCTGGATAACTTTGGTCCTAGCATTCCTGGCGCAATTCTGCACCATTGGTAGTCAGGAAGCCTCTCATACAAATTTCAAGTCCCTTGTTATATTCAACGTACCATAGTAAGCCTCTCCTCACACCACTAAAGGTCCATCTGTTTTCGAGCTAACCTCTCCGCAGCCCTCATCCGCCAGTCTACGGCTTTACCGCTATCAGATGTTCCGCATTTGCCGCTGGTTGTTTTGTAACCGCACTGGGACTTTGCTTCGTCAAGCCGCGCCAGGTTCTGCTGATCCTGTATCTGTGCGCTATCATTTTTTCTGTCCTCACCATGATGATAGAAGGCTACTCAGGCATCGTGATGGCTATCGTCGTTTCATTCTTCAGCGCTGGCATTTTCCCTATTACCTTTGTGATCGGTATCCACGGCATGGGGCGACATACGAAGAGTGCAGCAGCAATTTTGACTACAGCAGCCACTGGCGGCGCGCTGTTTCCATCCATTCAAAATATTATATCTGTGTCACACGGGTACCGATATGGTTTCTGCATTGAGGTCGCGCTTTTCTCCGCTGGTTCGCTCTTTTCATGCTATCTAAATTTCGTTCCGGCTGCTCGGAAACAGGCTGCTACCGCCACCCATAACCTCGACAGGGGATGATTAGGGGAATGCAAGGTCGTTATGAAGCAGTAAAGTGTGAATATCATATCCCATACTGAATCCCTAACAGCCATTGTATCGTTGTCATAAGATCCAATAATATGATTATTCCTACAAACAGCACATCTTACTTCATTCACCCCCTTAAAGACACATACTCATAATATAAGTCCGTTAACTATCTTCTGCATACAGATTGGATTCGTTAAGCTGCGAAAGCTAAGAAAAATACCTGATGTGACATCCTGTATCTGGACTAGCGTGTTGAAAATGGACTTTTCTCCGGATAACCCGCTCCAACACACGCGGGTCCAGGTGTTGATGTGGGTTCCCAGGTCTACGCTCCGCGGGTTGGGCCCAATGAGGCCTCTACCACCTGAACCCAGCCTGACCCCTACTCTAGCTGTGAGTTTGCATATACCCATACTTCAATAACTAGGAGAGACCAGGGTGCAAATTATCGCTGATGCATAAAATTATTATTTAATAGTGACCAATAAGGTAATAAAACAAATGCAGATGTTAACTAGAAGAAGGGGAAGGAAATTCTGGCTGGTGGAATAGCAACATTTCATTTTTACAGGGCTAAATAGGCTTCGCAGCAACAGAGAGAAAAATTAAGACAAGGAAAAACAAAATGCGCGAAAACAATCAGCGTAAAATTAGACAGCGCAAAACAGCGCCCTAAAAGCAGAGTGGTTCAAATCTGCTGTTTAACCACCTCACTGCCCTCTGGAAAGAGAGGAAGAATGGGGAAGGAAATTGATTAGCTAAACACCACACATCCACACGCCTGCACACTCCTTAAGTGTGTCATATCACATGCATTTGGCGAAGATGGGTCGCTACCATTGATAACACGGCCGGTTATATGTCATGAATCTGGTAGTGTTACCTTTCTCGAATTAGAAGGGGAAAATGGGAAAGAATAGTCATAAATGTATTAGTTCTCCGGATTTGATGTATCGGAGGGAGTCTTCGGCTTCTTTTAACTCTCCCTGCCTATAGCTATCCCTTCACGCTTGAGAAGTACAATCTAACTGCATGAGTCTATACATGTAATTGTATCACGGATCCTCTAGCCTAAGTTTGGCATACTGATCCACAAACTCATCAAAAAGCTTGTTAAGCCCAAGAAGATTCAAGGAATCTTTATCATCTTCTTCACTCATGAAGCACAGCATATTGTGGATGTCAAAACCGATTGCCAACATATATCCATATTCAGATTCCAGGAACACCTGATCCCGGGTATCTGAATCACCAGTTAGTTTGTTCCACTGAGTGGCGTACTCCTCGCAGAAGTGTCTCTTCTCCTCTTCTGTGTACTTTCTGCAATTTGCTATCCTGCTCTCCTTGTCAAACCATTTGAACATCTTCTGCATAAAATGCCCGCCAATGTCAAGTGCTCGATAATTCTGCATCACAAACTCGAAGTCAATCAAGGCAACTCTGCTCTCTCCCTCCTTCGGATCATTCTTCACCATCACATTCATGAACTGCATGTCATGGATACACCATCCTGTCTTTCCTCCTATGGAATTCAGCTTGTCCACCACATTCTGCAACCTTGTCCAAAAATCGTAATCGACCAGGTTGTCCAGATTGACACCTCCTTCTCTCCCAAGTACCTTCAGCTTGTCCATCTTGTGGTACTTCTTGAGTCCGTTGATGATGGCTTCGTAGTATGGCTCCACGGCCCTTTTCTCCAGTGGCATCTTCAAAACATGGAGCTTTGCCAATGCTTTAGCAATATCCGCTCGGATGACCGTGTTCTCAACGTCCTCCGGTTCCAAGTTACGTGCGTCAAGGAACTCGTCAATTCTCCCGAGTGTGCCATCTTGTGTCTTGAAGAATCCATAAACTTTGGCTCCCAGGCCAGATCCGCCGTACTCGTAGCAAAAGAGCGCTTCCTCATGCTTACTCGGTGCCAGAGGCTTCAAAGTTCCGAGATCGCTCCCAGTGCCATTATGAAATTTGATGAACACCTTTAAGGGCTCAGTAGATGCGCCAGTAGCCGGCTTCGGTCGCTCCACGGGACAGTGGGCGTTGGCAAATGATGCATGGTACGACATGGTCAGGGTCTCTGGGTCCACGGATGGCCATTCTTCCGTCAGAAATGAGCTGATGATGTCTCTGAGGTTTCTTTTGGTAGGAACTTTGTCTTTGGGAAGAGTCACAGGCACACTTATCAATGTGACCATCTTGCTTTAATGTATGAAAGTGTGCTCAATGAACAGGTGAAGGCAAAGAAATAACTATCATAAAATATGTGTTAGCCGCGCGGCGTAATGATCTATTGGGGATATTTCTTAGGTTCTAAGTGTCGTTTCTAAGTGTATGCGCCACAGCTCAATTATAAGAATGATTGGTTCAGCACTGAAGATTTTGGATTTGTGATCCGCAGGAAGGGCGTCGGGGTCTCAAACTTATCTAGTGCAAACCGGGGCCCCAGCGTCTCAATCCGAGTTTTGATTGTACAATGTCCTACTTTTGCCTTGTATTGCGTGTAATTTCCAACCCGGGAAAATACCGTTGCTGTTGCCTAGACATTTTTACGACCAAGGGTTGTCTGTCTGATCTGACCTGCCCCTATTAGTAATTCTCAGTGATGCAGGGAGCTATAATTCTTGCGGATACTTTTGATTATACGTTTGATGCACTAGGCGTGGTTTGCGGCTGGCTTTGATGTATCGCTACCCAGTCCAAGTCGGCTGCAACTAGACCATACTTTTTCAAGACATCAAAAACTCTCCGGATCAGTGTTGGCGGGCTTTACGGTGTCCTGGAAGAGGTATCTGACTGGAGGTAGAGTCCCATCCACGACATCCAGGATGCCCTTGACAGCGCTCAAAGCAGTGAAACAAATATCAAGGGTGTAGTAGGTGCTGATGTTGGCGATTCCAACACAACTATGTGTGTAGAAGCTCATATACTGGCGGACATGGTCAGGCATAGAGTTGCATTTGATGTGAGTTTGGGTAAGTTCAACCCTAGTTAGCACTGAACTACTGTGATCTAGGTTTAAATTCTTGCGTGACATGTTTGCCATGTGCACAACCAGTGGAATCAGTGTCCTGATCCAGCCTGTCCAGGTGTATTGGCTGGTCATATTGACATCGCTGGCCATATGTGATATGTATATGGAGGGTGATGCTTCCAGTCACGCCTGAGATTGTATATCACTTTATGGCGAGGATTACAGGCATTATCTGTGACCAGCATTTAAAAAGATATATAATGTATACCCATCACTGGTGAGCAAATTTCCTTTGCACTACAACCCTACTGCGCTCGCAGAATGTTACTTGTAAACAGGACAGAAGCGTTGCTTAATGGAACCTATAACAAGAACTGGCCCACCCAGTAAGAGGCCTTACACTGCTGATGCACTTATCACTAGAAAGATAACCGGCAAGCGTCAATCTCCCAACACTCCACTATCCAGGTTGGCACCATCTAGAACTCCTAATTGGATCCAAGACAATCACTACCGTTGGATATGAATATAACAGTAACCCTCACTTCTTCATGACAATGAATACTTGCAAGATGCTAACTTCTCATGGACAAATTCCTATCAGGTTGCTAGAGTAGATATCACACAGCTGCCCCACCAACGATCCCTAGAGCCTGCTCGAGTTTGCAAAGATCTACTACACTATATTTAAGTATGTTGTCTTTGCTACGATCATACATCATCCATTCAGCTCAGTTTTTGGCGATATATGTATTATTAATAACACATGTACTCTGTTTTGGCTATCAGGCCGATTATGCACTATAGGTTAGGCTCGATCGAGTAATCAATAGGCCTTCATGCGCAGGATTCGTTCTGATTGAGATAAAGTTGATATTCAGTTCTCCATACTGGAAATATTCAGGCTTCCAGACTAGAGCAGCATCACCAACATTCCAGTGAAAATCATGTCGTAACTTCGGATCTCATTGTTTTACTACATAATGTTAATTATCAGCATTCTTCAATTTGATGTGAACGCACTAAATGGAAATCCTCATTTTTGTTCTATTTTGTCATAGGGTTGCTCCGACCTGTCATGTCCCCATCTAGCTGATGTCGAAGTAAGATGTTCGCACAAAGGAAGCCAAAAAAGTGACACCATGCATAGTATTAGCATCATTTTGTGCTCTGGTGGCTTTCTATCTTACTCTCAGGATATCCAGGGTTGTTCCTATGAGCTCTTTGGCCTGGATGTTCCCCAATGCCAGAAGCCTACGCGATAACCACAACGCTTCCGTACGGAGAAAATGGGAATGGTATCATTCAACATGCTGTTAGGGGCCAGAAGGAATAATGGCTTCACTCGTCATCATTTTCGTGACGACAGTGCTGCCTTTTTGGAAAGGATGGTGGGGAAACCGGAAACGGAAAGACCACAGGGCATCTGAGACTCAGATACGTATGATCAAAATCTGCAGAGTTTCAATCCAGCACTATGTCATCGCTCAGCTGCTAATCAACGGAGACAACGTGACCTTTATCATCTCCGAGCACGAGGAGCAGAAGCTTGCTGCCGACAGGGCATTTGTGAGCGATGAATAGACTCTGGTATTGGTCTTCTCAAGTGCTCGACCGAAAAGCCAGTGTACTTACCATTGCATCAACAGGTTCCAGCAACTGGGAGAGTCACGTACAAGCGACCTTACTCGTACGACGTTTGAAGTACGACAGCAGGTGCACATAAAGGGGGGATTGATCGACGACGTCACCCATTGACAGTTACACATATCCACATATACGGACATCTTCCTGTAGCCAATTAGAGAATGGATTCTGTTGGCATTGTTTTTGCGGACTAAACAGCGCTATGCAACTCCATGTCAAATGGAACATTGCGAGTGTAAGTTATAGTATGTGCCACTTTTTCCTGAGACAGGTGGCAAGTACTAATAATAAGCTCTGAGTTAGCACACAGATATGTACCCAACCAATAGCAGCATTGTACGGCTTTACCTGGTCTTATAAGTAGCGAATGCTGAGATGTAGTTCGGCTACAGTTCTTATCCCTTTTTCCATGGAAGTCGGCTCAGGCCTGGTTGTCTTACACTTGGAAATGGCATCTGAATACGTCCTTCATCTCTTGAATACTCTCTTTGCTTTTATCTTCGTTATAATATGCGTTGTAGTCTATCGTCTCTTCTTCAGCCCGCTCTCCAAATTTCCGGGACCGAAGCTGGCGGCTGCAACGCAACTATATGAAGCGTATTTCGATCTCGTTAAAGGAGGCCAATTCATGTGGGAAATAGAACGCCTGCACCGCGAATATGGCCCTATTGTCCGAATAAATCCATTTGAGGTGCACATAAGAGACCCAGACTACTACGACGCTCTCTACGCTGTGCCAACAAAGAAGAGAGATAAGGATCCCTGGTTTACCTTCATTGGGTTACCCAAGAGTACGTTTTCTACTGCGCCTCATGGATTGCACCGCATACGCAGACAGTGCTTGAGCCGCTTTTTTTCAAAACAGTCTATACTAGAATTCGAGCCTACAATACACGAGAAACTCGAACTACTGCTTGATCACTTTTATATGGCAATGAGGAGGAAGGAGGTCCTTGACTTACATAGCGCCTTTCTTTGCTTTGCAGCTGATACTGTTTCGACTTACTTCTTTGGTCCAAGCGGATGCTTTGGATACCTTGACAATCTCTACCTGACAGACGACTGGAAGAAGAAGGTGAATTCAATATTTGAACACCTAATATTAGTGAGGCACGTACCGAAGCTGCTTTATATTGGACGCAATTTCCCATGGCTTGCTGGTTTGCTGGTTCCCAAATTCAGCTATGTCAATGCAGCTGAATCGGTGCGTTGTCTATACGCTCCTAGGCAATGCAGAACTAATACGGCAGCAGCAAATCGGCGCCACTGTCCGGAAAATACATGGCAAGTCCCATGAAAGGGATGCTGAACATGAATTAACTGGCTGCATCCAACATACAATTGCACTAAGAAACAAGATATCCTTCGAAGAGAGTGATTTGCGGCGAATGACCGACGAGGCAACATTCGTCATGGTTGCTGGGACTGATGCACCATCTCAAGTACTCGCCGTGACGATGTTCCATATACTTAAAAACCCGGAGGTGTATTGGAAACTCCAAGAGGAATTGGAAACCGTTTTTCCAGATCCTCTGGAAGCCATGTCGTGGAATAAGTTGGAGCGCATAGAATACCTGGTATAGTGCTCCATCGTCCTGAGAGACTACTGGGCTTTAATAATCGAACCAGTCAGCGATTGTGAAAGAAGGGCTGCGCATATCTGCAGTTGTTACAACGAGGCTACCCCGGATTGCACCTGATGAGGCTTTGATCTACGGCAAATGGCGCATACCTGCTGGAGTACGTAGTCTTCCCTTTACAGCACGCACGTTGCTGATAGTTACGACACAGACTCCTGTGAGCATGTCTACTCACTTCATCTTGAGAGATGAAGAGATCTTCCCAAATCCATTGGAATTTGAACCCCAGCGTTGGATGACTGTGGGGTCATCGCAAAGCCTAGAGCGGTACTTGGTACCGTTTTCTAAGGGTTCTCAGAGCTGCTTGGGCCAGAAGTATGCCCCCGCTTTAGTTCCTTCTGAATTGAGACTGACAAATACTGTTTCCAAACAGCATGACTTATTGCTGGCTCTACCTTGTCTTAGGCACAATTATCCGCAGGTTCGAGTTCGAACTTGTAGGAACATCTGATGATAATATCCAGATTGTGCGAGACTGTTTCAATGGTCAGACTGCCCCGGGCCTCAACAACATAAACGTCAGGGTTACCAGAGAGCTATCCTGAGTAGATCGGATTTACTTGTGGCTGTCATGGTGGGATGCGCCCAGAAATCTGGCGGCAAATGCGCAACGGGTCTACTACGTAACTAAATGTATCAATGTGGAGCCGTTGCCCTGCAAGAGTCTGTAACCATCATGCATCTTGAATTTGGTGGCAAATGCGGAATGAATTAGTTTCACACAGATGCATAAGCTGCTGTAAAAGTATACTAACCATGGGTTACCTAAGTGTTTGCGGATAGCAAATCAAGCCAAAATGCAGAGGGTCTCTCTCACACTAAGGGAAAGGTATCATCACACACCCTCTCGAGTAGAGAGTGAATCCGCCTCCCACTCCCCCGCTATGTTTTCCTTTTCTTCTTTTTTATTCGCTCCTTCGGACATTGCTTCACTGAGCATGTATGCATCACAACCTCATTACTAGCTGGAAATTAGAGGGTCTTCCTTTCCCGCCTAAACCAGCATATCAGCCGGTACCGAACTATAAAGCAGTATATATACCCACAGGTATTCCCACCTCCTGTTCCTAAATCAAGCCCATATTCCAATCATAGTGTGCAATCGGAGTCATCGTTGTCGTCCTTATTGTACCTCGTTTTTGGGTCCCAAAAAATCAGAAATGGGATGTCGAGTTATTATTGCGGGTGGTGGTGTTGCTGGCCTCACCCTTGCCAATGCATTGGAGGTACCAGTTCCCTGCTTTCCAAGACGCGAGAAGTTATTTACCAGTAAAAATGTCAATTTAGAGCGCTGGTGTGGACTTCGTTTTATTAGAACGCCGGCCAGATTTTGCGCCCCAAGCTGGGGCAGCTATCGGCATATTACCCAACGGCAGCCGGGTACGATCTGGTCCTGAATTGGTTGTTTTTCATTTGAATTGATATATGGACAGATCTTGGATCAACTGGGTATATGGAATAGACTGTACAGACAAGTGGTACGGACTCCTGTAGCGCTCTCGGCGTTATGGACTGGACGACTAACTGTGGAAAGCAACCGGCCATCTGGTGGTCCGACCGCGACAACAATGGTCATTTGCTGAAGCCGCTTACCGATATGACAAGCTTGGTTGCGTCCAGGTAAGCCACCAAGTTGGTTTCCAGAAGAGTTACTTTCTCCCAGCGCGCTGATGCGGGCTTCATACCAGAACTGGGTACGACATGGCTTTTGGCGATCGCCAGCTCGTTTTGGATGTCTTGTCTGATAATATAAAAGACAAAAGAAATCTCCTAACCAGGAAACAAATAATTAAGGTGCATAATCACTCTTCTGGTGTGACCGTTACCTGCAGCGACCGGACCACCTATGACGGAGACATCCTCATCGGAGCCGATGGAGCAAATAGCACGGTTCGCGAATACATGTGGAAGTTATCCGATGCCGCAAAGCCTGGGAGCTCCTACAAGGACCGAAAATGTCAGTCAGCTGCTGAAAAGGGCGTTATAAGTTATGCTGACGAAACATCACAGCTATGGCTGCTGAATATCAATGCCTTTTCGGTATTACTTCATCGTGCGAAGACCTTCAGCCCGGCGACGCGGACTACGGTTACGATAAAGACCGCGGCTTCTTCACATTTGTGGGGAGAGGAGGCAGGACATACTATTTCCTCCTGAAAAAGCTTGACCGAGCCTATACTTTAGGGGAGATCCCCCGATATGACAGAGCAGCAGCGGCCGAATTTGCACGGGAGCAGGCGGATATTAAGATCAGGCCAGATCTGGCATTTGATATGCTATGGGAAAAGTCTGTCAGGTATAAACTCATTGCACTTGAGGAAGGTATTCTGCAGTCTTGGACGTGCGGACGCATTATCTGCATCGGCGACAGCGTTCACAAAGTGACGCCTAATATAGGGCAAGGCGGTAATATGTCCATGGAAAGCGCCGCAGGTTTGGCTAATACAATAAAAAGACTGGCAGAGAAATCCAGTAAAGGCGGTCGTTACCTTTCGGAGCACTCGGTCAGGGAATGCCTGCTTGCGTTTCAGGAGTCGCGACGGAGGAGATCGCAAGCAGTCGTCAATACATGCTATAGTGTCAACCGACTTCAGCTGATGAAGACGCTGTTCGACAGATTTTTACTTATTTACTGCATGCCAAGAATGGGGGACTTTTTGGCAGATCTGATATCAGAAATATTTGTTGGGGCCGAAATGCTTGACTATCTCCCACCGCCGCCAGCGTCCTTGAATGGAACAATGCCGTTTAACCCTGTTCAAGGTGTTGGACAGAAGGAAAGCAAGATCCGAAGAGCACTACTTGCATTGCCCTTGTTTGGTATGTCATTCTCGTGGCCTCTTCTGAGAGGCTGTTCTCCGAAAGATGTGCTTACTGGGGGAGCGTCAGGCCCTGGTATGGCTAGGCTCGTCGCAAAACAGTGGCACATTCTGAGAGTCTCTCATAACTGATACTTGGCGTGCTAAAAGACTCATCATTACATAACAGAGACTTAACAGGGCAGATGTCCTACCCGAAGTATCTCATTTTCGATTCTGGTATCATCCACACTATCTTCCTCGTGGAGTCTGCTCGCCGAGCCAGCATATTTACTCTCTTGCAGCTGTAAGCCTATATTCCATTCATTATTTTTCTTTTGAAAGCTAAGTATATCAATCAAGCCCTCTACCCTTCGTTCTTCTTGGCCGGATTACCGGCTTGGGAATCGTTAATCCGATTTACTTGTTCGTCAACTACGTATTCAGTCCTGTCGAAGTCTTTAAAGCGACAGATATGCGCCTTACGAGTACCAAATATACAAAGGGTATCTTGCCTGTGATGGTTTTGTGTCATTATATACCCTTGCTTTTGATGTATTCCTGGCCAACGTTGCTTGGCCAGGAATCCTGGCATCTTTTCTGGAAGATAAACCCTCTCCTGATTTCGGTCTCTTTGTTGCTCATATCGCGCTGTTTTGCCGATACGACCATGCAGGACAAGGGTCCACAATCCGCATTGTGATCTGCCAACTATCTATTTTACTCTGGGACTAACAACTGCCCTGTCCGCAGCTGCACGTGTGCGCAATTTTGCCGAAGAATCGACATTCCCCTCAAACATGCTGGCACTGGCCACTGCTTCGAGAGAGGATGATATTTGTATATTCACCGACTCAGTGATTAATGAAGCTCTCGTCTCCCTTTCAGTATTCACATGGCTCGGCTACTTGCTTTGGGACTTGAAATACTCGGGCATGATTCAAGCCGGCTACCTTAAGATTATTCTATGTTTGTGTGCTACCATTCTCAGTCTTGGTCCGGGAGTTGCGGCGGGCTCTGCATGGATATGGTGTGAAACTATCATAGCACACAACAGACATAAATTCGCTATCACAGAAAAGGAAGCTCCTGGGATGTCCATCACTTGCAGGACGTGAACTTCAACAAGATATTTTATCAGCAACATCTCGATAGGTTTTTTCGCATATTTGAGGTGGAACAAGTTGCTCTCTGAAATTGCCAGCACCTACAGTTTTGCTATTAAGCTCAATGTGAGATTGTGCTCCAGGGAGTCATATTTATTTAGCAGTCTTTTTGAATTGGAGAACTATTGATTTTGCTAGAATTGGACTACCATCTTCATGAGTATGGGGTCTCCCCTCTGTGTCGATATTTAGCGTAGATCATCGTATTTCCGCAGGAGGCCCAACAATGTGGAGCAAGGAGTAAAATTGAGCTAATTAAGTCTTTGTATAAGGCAACAACTAACAAGGCAGAAATGAAATTTCCCAGTTACAGTAAATCTCCCCCCTTCGATGATGACCAATTCCGAACGCAACTGGTTCAGCAGACAACCCATCTCGAGATCTCGAGCACACGGAATTGGCAGCAGAGGAGACTGGAGGGAGATGGCTTCTCTCTTTATCTAGACCCCAGGGCAACATGATGATCTGGTGTAGGCTTACCCGGGCATCAATGTTTGGTTTTTTGTCCTGGCGATGCTACGCAACCCGAATAGAGCAGTCTGCTTGCTTCCCTGATTGCATGCCGGGAATCTTTTCACATGTTGAGGATTCTCTCATCCCTCCTTGGCAAAGTTTCGCACTCGTCTGAATCTACGGCAAAGTTGGCCAGCTGTGCTGTCCAGACTAGAGTCATTTTCTGTTCGGTTTGGTACAATGAGGATTGTCTAGCATGGATTATTTAACATGATGAGACTTTCTGTTTGTTATATCAGAAGAGACTCAATATGCAATCCCTCCCGCGCGCAGAACGTATACGAAATATCCAACCTGACCGCAGACTGTCCACTGGCGACATGTACCCAAGACAAAGCCTCAATCCTCTGGCACGCAGCAATCTGTTCCATGCTCTGTATCATTTGCCCGTCCTCGAACCCACCCTCTTCAATCTGAATTACCCGCTCAACCACCCTGGCAGCAGAGATGCTATCCCAAACAGCCTCCTGTGTCGGTTGCTCTCGTAGGAAACTCAAGACCTCACGTCGGACCATGGGATGCCTGCATTTGACCCCTATTATGTAAAGCAAGGGGATGATTCCTATCTCCGGTGTAAAAGTAGGCCTTAAAGTCTCCGGATACCGCTCATGCGCCGCTGCTAACTCGCCCGCCAAGGCCACGCATTGCTGGAACTGGGGCAGGAAGTTGTCGTAGTCCATTTCTCTGCCAGGTCCGCAACAACTGAGAAGAATGCATGCGACAGTATGTTGAAGGCGCAGCAGTGATACAAGCGGGTAAGTTTCAGAGCCTGTCTCATAGGATCTGCCTTGTCGCAGTGTGTTTTTGAAGGAACTCAGCCACGTTTCCAACTGCCCAAGTACGATATCCTTAAGTGACAAAAGCGTCGGTGGCATTCTGTCCATTGGAGACATTTGCTGCACCGTGTGACGCAGTCTCATTACCTGAGCGACAACAATCTGGAGGTGGTCGGCAGCTAGGTCGAGGGACGGAAAGGTACCATCAGGTGGAAACTGGGGCACAAATGTCTCTTGGATGTCGACTGGAGTCCAGTCGACCAGAAATAATACAGCCTGCATGTCGAGACGGCGGATCTGTCTTGTGACCTGGTAGATAAGCGTGCAAACCTCAGAGGGTTCTGAATTGTCATAGGTACTGTTGTTGTCTAGTATAGCTTTGTCGGTGTCGCGTGAGAGCTCCACACCTCCGCGCAGGTGCTTCACTGCTTGTACATAATTGCCTGCCAGATGATCAAAGCAGGTGAAGAGATAGCAGACCAAAAGCGTGACGGCTGTTTCTTCGGTGCTGTTGCCACTTTCCTGGTCCAAAAGAAGGCGAATGGCCCGATTATAGTGAGACAGGGGAGCATTATCCCGTAGCCAGTCTCTCGAAGATTGCGGTTGACGCATACGGTCGCTCGAATCGCGATACAGGTAGTTTCGGTGGATCAAGGCCAGAGCAACGGCGGCATACCGCACCGACGGCACTGTTTGGGAGAAGAACATGAGAGTCTTACGCCATGATTTGCAGGGACGATATCCATTCAGGTGTTTGATCGAAATATACTCAAAAAACCACATTGCCTCTGCCTGAGCTGACCCGGTCACTGGCAAGATCATAAAGGGTCCGAGATTTTGCCAAATGAGGCCATCGTATTTCGGGTACCCCTTTTTAGGAAGATATGCATTGATCGTGGAGCAAGGATTGTAACTGTTGCAACTCTCCGCTCTGCCAGCCTTCTCATTGTGATGAGGAGTTGATTCAATCTTGGTCTTTTCATGCTTGAAAGCGAGGGGCATTTCACTATAGCCGTCACAGGTGCGACCTGTGGACTGGCATTTCAAGCATGAAGGCCGAGATAAATCGCATTTTATTCGTCTTATTCTGGTGCATCGAGGCTGAGTGTCATCTTTTGGATCTCTGAACACAATTGATTGCTCTGTAGCAATACACGGAGTCAAGACTCACTTGCAAGTCTTACAGCCCAGTCTTGATTTTGGAGAGAATTTGCGAGGCTTTCTTCTCCATGCGTGGTTTGTCGTCTTGGTGTTCTCCTTAATCTCATCCATCGCTTTGGTGTTAGCTGGCCTAGGTTTGCGGTTCGCGCCGTTGTAAGCAGTGGGCACTCCCGGGGCCACCATGTGCACGCGGCATTCGCTTCGAAAAGCAATCTATGTTGGGCGCCAATCGAAGTTCAGAAGGACTGTCTATTCGTCTGTTCGTATGCCAGCGGGGAAGACATCTCCCACATCCTTTGCGATGGAAGCTTGAACGAGAAAAAGACAGACGGTACAAAAAAAGAAGGCCGGAAATCAATTAAGTAGGCCAAAGATAAACTAACCGTGATAAATTCTGATACAGATTAGTGCATGTCATTGTAGTTTTAATTGGCTAGTTCGTACAAGTGGGGGACCATGGAAGGAGAGTGCTCAATCTTGGAGAAGACGGAGTAGCGTACGGAGTAAGTCTAAACCAGCCATGATAAACCCTGATAGACTAGTCTGTACAAGCGGGGCGCCAATGAACGCAGAGCTTCTACCTATTCAACTCCAGTGAGGAGGGGGTTCAATACTGAGGTGCGATGGGCAGATATCTCTCTGTGGATTTCTGGATTATGCTATAATCTGGTCCACATGGTGACCTCACTTGAGATTCCGCAGTGAGTAAAGCCTCAGACCCACTTATACTCTGACAAGGTTAAGAGGTAAGAGTTCATGCCCGCATCCTCCATAGCGAAACCTGATGGTGTAAAATATTGATTGGCCGGTTCGTACAAGCGGAGCATCCAGAGGGTGTGCCACAATAGGGGTTGTAAGTTGGCAGGAATGCTATTGCCTGAGGAGTGTAGCAATTGAATGAAATAAACTTCATTAACAAGTCACCTAAGAAATTCAACTTGTTATAAATAGTTCCCAGATGTCGCAACTGTGCTGGCTATAATGGTGGTTTCTTGCAAGCAATATAACAGAAAGCTCAGTGAGAAACCTTCTGGGAATAACAATGACACGACGCCTGAATGCACTGATCCTTTTCCTGAGCTTTGGATGCAATGCCCATATTTGGCGTGATCCAGGCATAGTATATGGATTTGAAAACGTGATTCTACCTAACCACATTCTCTAATCTAAGGGTTAAAACTTTTCTGACTAGCCATCTAGATTGAGCCATCAGCCAACCTCATATGGACACCATGTTTCGATGACTTTACATGCTCTAGACTTCTGGTTCCTTTGAATTATTCAAACAAAAGTCTTGGCACGATGTCAATCGCCTTCATAAAACTGGCTGGGAAGAATGCCACCGCCAAATCTCCAAGCATTGTAATCATGCCCGGTAAGATTGCGATATCAATCATACAAAGTTACCTGAAACTCGTATGACTGGACTGACGCATTATCAGGAGGTCCAGGCGGTTCTGGTATTGATCTCCTCCTCACATACCGTACTGTTGCAGGGCAAATGTTTGGAGAGCATTTCAACTTCGTCTCCTTTGACCCTCGTGGTGTGAACAACAGCGATTTGCGCCTCGACTGCTTCTCAGGGAACTCAGAAGCAAGGTTGGCCTTCATTCAACTGCACAGTACAGGCGCTACCAACACCTCATCAACCTCGCTTGAAGAACAGTACTATTCAAGCTCTATTTACGGAGAGTGGTGCAATGATGCTGTCAACAATGAGTCATCCCATGGTTATTATGTGACCACACCGGCGGTCGCCCATGATCTGCTCACATTTATAGAAGCTGAGGCCGAGGTGGCCGGTCAGTCACCGGCAGACGCCAAATTGTGGTGTTATGGCATTAGTTACGGCACTGTCCTTGGCAGCACTTTCGCTGCCATGTTTCCTGAGCGAGTTGGGAGAATGATACTAGATGGTGTTGTGAACGCAGAGCAGTATTATAGCAATGAATGGAGGGACAATGTTGATCAAATGGACGAGGCCATGGAAAACTTCTCGAGCTTCTGCCATTCCGCAGGTCCTAGAAAGTGTTCCTTCTGGGGACCCACGCCAGCTAACATCACGGCCAGACTGGACGGCATCGTCCATCAGCTTCAGAATCATCCGGTTCCAATAAGCGGAGTCCGAAGTCAAGTCCTACCGACACTGGCCACCTATTCCGATCTGAAGGCTCTCTTCCTCACCACTATCTACGCCCCACTGAAGAACTTCCCTGTCATGGCCGACATCCTACACCAGCTTGAGCGTGGGGACGTGTCTGCTCTTGCAGGCATGTTTGACGGATTGAATTCTATATCCGACTCCCGTCTAGCCATTCAGTGCGCCGATTCGTATCGGAGAAACAGGCTTACTACCATGGAAGACTTTAAGAGTTACGTCGAGTACGCGATCTCGAAGAGCAAGTACATCGGTGATATTTACCCCATCTACCAAGACAATATCTTGTGCAGATCATTCCGACCGAAATTGCCTGATAGCATGGTGGTTCAAGGTAAGCATCTCTCTCTCTCCCTAGTCTTTATCTTGAGAAAGGTAAATATACATTCTTTGGAAGCAGAATCTGACCTGTTTTTGTTTATGCAGTCCCAGTAAGTGGGCTAGACAGGCCTACTTCCTTCCCAATCCTCTTTACAAGTAATACCATCGATCCTATAACGCCCTTGAAATCGTACGTTTTGGCCAACTTGCCCCGCCATCTGGTATGTTGCTAATTGATTTGACCTCTTCGCAGGGCGCGCAACATGTCTTCTCAGTTTACCGGATCAGTACTCCTATTGCAAGAAGCTGTTGGTGTAAGTTGCTATCAAATCTCAATCATACAACCACCTCAAACAATAATTTAGGCTTACTCCTGGTATCTCCCTCTCGATGCAGCATACTGTCATTGAGCAGAGGGGGTCAGATTGTTACTTTCGACATGTTCAGGCATACCTTCAAGGCGTAGTTCCATCGTCCAACATGACATGCCCGCAGCAGTACATACCTTTCAGAGATGGTCCTGTTTAGATATTGTTCATGCCGCGGAGGAGGGATTCAGCATTGTGGACCTGGCGGTGCTATGCGTAGGACTAAGTTAGAGGCTGGATTGAAGGCCTGGCGCACTGTTTTGAAAAGGCATTGATTAATCGAGTCTTCACGAGGGGGCATTTATTAAACTACACCCTAAACCCCAACATCTTATATCACATCATCCATCCATTCATCCGTCTATTTGTATTATATGATTGTTATGTACAATAATAGTGGATTACACAAGATTTTGTCAGAGCTGACACTATATCATTTGTGAAATATCTCCTGTTCTTCACATCACTATTCAGCTTTCAGGAGTCAGCAGCCTTCTTCACCTCCCACTCATGCGCCAAAATACCCATATAGAGTAAATCCCACCACCTCCCACCTTTCCACACACATTGCCTCTTCCGTCCCTCAGATACAAACCCAATTTTTTGGTACACCTTTTGTGCCCTTTCATTCCACTCAGAGACCATCAGCTCAACGCGGTGCAGGCCCGCAGTCAGAAAAGCCCAGTCCAGCATCCATGAGATAGCCTCAGACCCATACCCCTTGTCTTGGTACTGGCGCGCAATAGTGATCGCTAACTCGTGTGTGCGATTATGCGTGAAGCCAGGGAGTTGCTCTTTTAATGAGATCACACCAATTGCCTCGGGCACCTTATCAGAGCCCTCTTCGGGGATGATACATATCATGACTGACATGAATGCACCAGCAAGCCTTTCTCGCAACTCTTTCCGCTCCTTTGTGCTGAGCGGGCGTATGAGGGCGGTCGTGGCCATAGATCCGACTACGGGGTCGGCGTAGAGAGCTTGGAAGAATGCATCGTCTGCTGGGTTATCCTCTGGCGCACGATAAAGGAGACGCGCGGAGCGGTAAGGTTCCAACGGGAAGGAATCCATTGCGACCGTCTGGAGGAGCTGGTTGAACGCTGTGGAGCAACTAGTGGAGACTCGATATCTTGAAGGTCCATCAGCAGAGCAACGCCAGATCATAGACAAGGGCAGATTTCTCATCAGGGAACTCTCGTGCTGAGATCTCCGGAGAGCTAGTGTATTAGTGAGTCATCAATAAATACGAACAAGATCGCTAAGCCTATTCTGAGTTACGACTTGAACTAAAACGACATTTGCGGGCGTGTTTCCACCTAGATTGGCTTACCCCCCCACCAATCCACACTACCCCACCCAATCCACGCTTTGGTTGATAAGGGTTGGCCTTAATCCAACCCACATGGATATAGGTTGAACCATTGGGTTCAATATAGGTGCACGTGATCTAGGGTCTCTTAAACTGATAAGCTTATCTAACCAGATCTAGGTCCAGGTAAGAATATGTTTTTAAATAGATAGATAGAGAATAGTCATATCTATCTATATTTAAAATAAAATATCAGATTTACTAAGAAAACCAGAGTTATAATAGTTTTTAGATTTTAGAGGATGGTAGTTAGGGTAGTAGAGGTAAGATATATATATCTCTGCACCACCTTTTAGCCTAAGTTTAGGGGGCACCACTACTTCCCTATATAAGCTTATTTCAGCTTATATAATAGGTAATATATACTATGTAAACTAATTTATTAT